GCAGTCCACAAACCAACGGGTGACGTCAAGATGACTTCGTCCACTTCTTTTATACAGTCTCTGAGACCAGCTGGTGAATTGATGGAGAAATTATGTAAATCACTACAAAATCAAAAGGGATTACAAGGGGAAATGATCTGAATGTTTAGCAATGACTTAATAAAGTAGGCAAACTAAATACTTTATATAAAACAAAATGACATAAATGTCTAATTCAGTGGTTTCAAATGTGTTTATCAATTAGTTCATCTCAGTACAAAGAAGGAAACAACCAGATATAGATCATTTTATAGATTTTTTTATCTTAATCGAGTAGAAAAGACAAACGAGTTCCAGTATCAATAAGAAAACATTATTTAGTTATTAGTGTAGTGTGTGGGGGATATGAACATGATTTAACACTTACTCACCAAAACTGCTCTAAACATTAGTGTTTGCCTAAATAAATAACCCTTATTTAGATACTGGAGACTCTGCGGCACGGACACATTTCCGTTGGTGAAGTATTGAGGTTTGAGCTATGCTGGTTTCACTTTGACATTGGTGCATTAATGTTTTCTGATGCAGTTAAAGATATGTACATGTTTGTAAACATTGGCAGAAACAGAAAATGAATCTATATTTCTATATATCTAACCTACAGCAGCAGTTTATAAAATAATTAAAACAAGCTCCACCATTACTAGCTGCAACATTCAACAAGTCCTCCAACCAAAACTACAACATAGGTGGTTTGAACCAACCTCCAAAAACAACTCCATTTCCGTCCAGACCTACATTTTGGAAATCACGTGACCCACACATCACATCTCAAACATATGGAGGCCGCAGCGACTCAAAGAACCCCAGCTGTGGTGTTTGGCCACTAGAGGTCGCTGCCACAGCCTTTGCCTGTGGCTAAAACAGTCTATAACGATTTGTGCAGAACAGGCTCACAACATTACAGTGATCCGCGCATGAATGCATCAATACCTAACCATCACATTGTCCGCTCGCGATGACGTCATCACGTTAAGTTGCTTGCGGTGGAAGGTTGCGCTAGAGGTTTTCCCTGAAGTAGCCCTTTGTGTACATTAGCCTATACTTTTTAAAACATACCTTTCTGATTTGTCTTTGGAGTCGCATGTGTGTAAACCTGTCACGTACCACTTTGTCACTCTTTGAATGTTGCGGAAAATGTTGAAAACAGGAAGAGGGCAAGTTGCTCTTCCTGTGAATGTCTAACATGATCGCTAATAAATGTTCTAAATACACATATTTGTCTTTGGAGTCTGTAAACGTCACGTAAAAAAACGATTAAGCCTTTTTAAAACGAATAGAAGAAAAAATAAAAAGTATTTTCAACGCGGGATTCGAACTCAGATTAATGTGGAAAAATAAATTACCGTCGGATCAATATTCCACTAGTCTACACTATCATCACCTCTTCACCCTCTGTCGGCGTAGAATAAAATAACTCAAGAGCAAACAGCCGGCCATCACTCTTTAAAACGGGAGACAGCAGATCAACTTGTGACAACACTGTCAAATCATTCTTCTTACCTACAAAGCTCTTAATGGTCAGGCACCATCTTATCTTAAAGAGCTCATAGTACCTTACTACCCCACCAGAGCACTGCGCTCCCAGAATGCAGGGTTACTTGTGGTTCCTAGAGTCTCCAAAAGTAGACTAGGAGCCAGAGCGTTCAGCTATCAAGCTCCTCTCCTGTGGAACCAAGTTCCAGTTTGGGTTCAGGAGGCAGACACCATCTCCACATTTAAGAGTAGGCTTAAGACTTTCCTCTTTGATAAAGCTTATAGTCAGGGCTGGCTCAGGTGAGTCCTGAACCATCCCTTAGTTATGCTGCTATAGGCCTAGACTGCCTTCGGATTTCCCATGATGCACTGAGCTCCTCTCTCCTCTACCTTCTCTCCCTCTGTATGCAACCTCATCCCATTAAATGCATGTTACTAACACAACTTCTCCCCTTTCCGGTAGTCTTGTGCTTTCTCGTCCCTCTCCTCTCTCCTCCTATCACTTCCTGCAGGTGTGTTTCTGGCTCTGGAGCTGTGGAGTCTGGACCTGCTGCCCCCGTGTTCCTGCTCGACACCCTCTGCTGCAACGACTATTGTTACTAGTTCTATTATTATCATTGTTATTATAATAATTAACATTACGATTGTTATCATTAACACTACTATAAATATCTGTACCATTTTTCATTTAGTCTATAGCAACATCACCTTTACTGTCTGTACCTCTGTGTGTATATTGTGTAGGCTGCCTCCCTCCCCTCTCTCTCCTTCTCTCTATTCCTCTCCTGCTCTCTCTCTCTCTCTCTCTCTCTCCTTCACCCCCAACCGGTCGAGGCAGATGGCCGCCCACCCTGAGCCATGGTTCTGATCGAGGTTTCTGCCTCTTAAAAGGAAGTTTTTCCTTGCCTCTGTCACCTAGTGCTGCTCTTGGTGGGAACTGTTGGGCTTCTGTAAATATCATCATAGAGTACGGTCTAGACCTGCTCTTTTATGAAAAGCGCTGTGAGATAACTGTTGTTGTGATTTGGCGCTATATAAATAAAATTGAATTGAAATTGAATTGTCAAGACAATGTCAGTATTTTACTTGTTCCCTTCGCAACCAAGCCGCCGTTTAACACAGAGTTGTTTACTTGGTTGTGAAGGGAACAAGTAAAATACTGACATGGTCTTGACAGTGTTGTCACAAGTTGATCTGCTGTCTCCCGTTTTAAAGAGTGATGGCCGGCTGTTTGCTCTTGAAGTTGTTTTATTCTACGCCGACAGAGGGTGAAGAGGTGATGATAGTGTAGACTAGTGGAATATTGATCCAACTTTGATTTATTTTTCCACATTGATCTGAGTTTGAATCCCGTGATAAAAATACTTTTTATTTTATACGTTTTAAAAGGCTGAATCATTTTTCTACATGACACATGTGACACAGACAGACTCCAAAGATAAATATGTGTATTTAGAACATTTATTAGCGATCATGTTAAACTTTCACAGGAAGAGCAACTTGACCTCTTCCTGTTTTCAACATTTTCCATAACAACATGCAAACAAAGAGCACAAAGTGGTACGTGACAGGTTTACACACACACACAACTCCAAAGACGAATCAGAAAGGTGTTTTGTCTTTAATGAACAACTACAGAAAGAGGCATTAGCGGGGACAGCTACGTATTCTCTTCCTGTTTTCAACAGCTGTCGTATCTACGACAACCACAGACGCATTCGGCTTAAGGTCACCAGTTAACAGGGCCACTTGTTAATCCGAAACACCGAATGAGTGGCGCCAAATGAGAAGCTTGCAGAGATTGAGAGAAACACTCGTTTAGCATAGTTAGCATAGTTTAGTATATAGTCAACATCGAAGCCCTTGGTCTAACACACTTTAGTAGTAGTAGTTGACATGATGACTACAACAACTGAACATACAGTACTTTCACAAAATAAACACCTTTTTCGCTCATACAAATGACCATATCTCAAAAACTAAAAAAGGAACACAGTTCAAATGACTCGTGGAGTGTTGAGAACTTTTTTGTTCATCTTTCTACGTTTAGAAATATTTTGGATCAACATGTTTTGTGTTTATTTTGTAGAATTTTATGAGAGACATGCCCGAGTTTTGCATTTGTTTTTATTTAGGCCTATCACACAATTTCAACACTTTAATCAATTATTATGGTTTACTGATTTACATAACCTTTTAGCTGGTGTTGTACATATTTTATGGATGGGCTATGTTGCATTTACTCCAAGAAATTACATCATAATAGGCAAAAATACCAGAGTAGGCACTGGCGGACCATTTGTATTGCAGAGTTTAAGGGGTTAAAGCCCTGGGTACCTTTTTAGCGTCGTTTTAGTAGCGCGAAGGGCTCTGTGGTGAAGTTAACAAGAATAACTATACAACGTCTGGTTAGACTCTAAAATGTTTTGCTGGCTTAGGTTTATGTACCAAAACCACTTAGGAAGGCTCATCAATTGGGTTGAAATAGCATAACTACACTGGCTACTTGGGGGCCTTTATTTAAGTAACGCTGACATAAAACGAGTCTTTTGTGTAGCTAAAACAAGTCTTATGTTCTGCCAGCCTACAACATTACAGTGATGTGTATCAACCAAGTTGCCTACATATGCATAGCTTACTCATGCATGCTGTCATTCCTAATTACATCATTCATAATGAGTAGGCTACTCAGGTAGGCCTGTATTTTGATGCCAATACTTTTGTATTTTTACTGAAGATGACCGAGTCTGTTTCTACGCCGTGAATATCGCTGCTTTTACTTCAGTAAAAGATTTAAGCACTTCTTCCACCACTGCACAAAACTGATTGCTTTGCATTTTTAACGTGTTGTCCGTGTTTCCGACAGCACTAGAAAGCAGTAGGAAAGCGAAAGCACACGCGCTCTCCCTGGATTGTGGACAGCCTGAACACCTGCTAACAGGTGGATAATGTTCAATAACATTATAAAACAACATGCCTATAAAACCAAGCATAACCACAAGACTCATATAAAACATTTACGACGCGTTGTAGGCCACGCTTTGTTGTTTCTACCGGAAGATACATTCCTCATATATCACTTTAATAACGTTTAGTTTTCCTGTTCTTCACTAATCTAATGTTTTAAAGGTAGGTTATATTACAGCCGAGCTGCAGGTTTGCTGCTGTGAAGAGAAACTAGTTTCTCTGTGAGTTGTGATGTTTAACTGACAGCAGCGCACTTTGCGCAACACATGTTTATTTAGGCTACAACAAATTTGTAGATTTACATAAAAGAAGTGTTTCTCTTACCTTCGCTCGTCATCGTTTTTAGTCCATTAATGCGCGTTTGTTTCCCACATCGCTGTGAACCAGAGGAGCGGGATTCAGGAAATGAAGAGAGGGAGGCGGCCACACAGCCAACCAACACACACATAGACTAAACTTCCTTGTAGCCCACTCTACCCGCAGTGTGTGAGTGTGTGTGTCAGTGGTGTATGAGATCTTTTGACTAGTCAATCTGTCAGAAAGGAGAGTGGAAAAAGATTCAATATCTGCTCCTGCAACATAAAGCCGCTGCGTGCACGTGGGCGCGCGCGTGTGTGGTCTTCAGAGGACCAGCTCGAGTTTTTCAGCCATAAGAGTGAGGACTTTTTCTTTTTTAAGGGAGGTCAGATTAAAAGTGAGGAGCCTAAATTGGGAACAGTTTAGCAAAGTGAAGACGTATTTGGAAAAGATGATATTTAGAAAGTAGGGAACACTTAAAAACAACAAAGAAGTGGGAAAACTTTTATGTAGATAAATAACATTTTAAACATGTAGGAGACAGTTTTTTTAAGTAAGGAAATTTTTGTAGAGTAAGTATAAGTCCTTACAAGTAGGGTGGAGTCAGCTCTGGCGTGTATTTTACCATGTCTTGCTGCTGTAAACTTATGTCCTTGTTGCTACAACCCTAGTGGACGTGTAACAGTAGTTTGGATTGGTCTGAGGTTTCTATGTTGGGCATGTACTAGGTCAGTGAGTTTGACATAGTAACGTCACTAAACCAGCAAGCTAAAATGAGCCAAGTACACACACAAAAAGTTGCTCAATTTAGCAGACTCCACCTTATAAAACCACAATTGTGTGCGCAGAGGTGGAAATGAACTTTTTGGCTCACTTGTCAAGGGATCTGGAAGAAAAAAATCCACTGGCCAAGGATAATTTTTTACCAACCAAAACAAAAACAAAAAGTGACTTTGTCACATATAAATTTGTTTCAGTATTTTAATGCCGGTCTGCTGCTAGCTAAAGTCAATTAGCTATTATACAACAATATAGTGCTGAATACATTTGCAGATAGCCTTCCAACATTTATTCAGCAAACAGAAAATATACACGCATTTGGTGCTTGGCAGGTATTAATTTCCAGGCCTGTGTGTGTGTGTAGACACTGAAAGTGAAAGCTTTATAGTGAAAGTTTACTCAAAAAACAGCTGACCTGTGAAAGTAAGTCAATACAATAGTACAAGACCAAAACAATTATACCCCTTTCTAACATAACGTGTTTAAGATCACTTCTTTCATGGCAGCCAGCAGCTGGTTTCAGTTCTTTTCTTAGAAACATGACAGAGACTTGAAACTTTCTGCACGGACAAAGTTCATCACAGGCAACACTTCACAGTTGTTAGTTATTAGAAGCAGCAGAAGTTGTTGAATTCAAGTTAGTTGCAGCAACTGAGAGGAAGAATTATTGTGTAAAACCGGTGCTTCTTGATGCATTCACTATGCTCCAACAGCTCAGATTTGGTGGTCGGTGATTAAACAGTAGGGGGAAGCCCTGTAGTATCATTCATAAACGCTAAAGGTAGGCATAGGATAATTAACAGAAATGTTTGAGTAAGAAGGGGGTTGGCATTGACAGTGAGCCATAAACCGGACTTTAAACCAGGAGACCGGTGTTCATTTCCTGCAGGGGCGGACTGGGACAAAAATTCAGCCCTGGCACTGTAGCCACGCCAGCCCACCTTACCACGCATCCCCACGAACACACATTCACTACTTAGGCTACATTTGTGTACAGATGGTGAGATAATATAAGCAATAGGCCTACTGTGTGTAACAGCGTCACTTTGTGTTGTAAAGAGTTGGTGACATAAGGTCTGAGAATAGGGGTGTGATGAAAGACTTTGGTCATGAGAACAAGACGAGAAGATATTTTAATACTATTTTGAAGAAATTTGATGATAAAAGCAAGGAACATCCACCTCTCCTGCAAACACAGCGGCTTGCCCTACCTCTTTCTTTTTTCTCTCTCCCTGTATTTGTCTACCCTGTTGACTTTCTCCATCAGCAGTGGGCTGTTTTATAAAGTGGCCAAAATGACTTTCGCACTTGTGATTTTCACACTCGATACCGTTTTCACCCGCGGGTGCGCAGAGGCGACTTGTTAATGAGGAAGCCAATCGAAACCGAAACCTTGTGAAATATCCGCAGTCTGAGTCTTATAATCTCTCAAGGATCAGGATCATTCTCTCGGTTTGTCTACAAAATACTTAAATGGGTCACCAAATATTTTCGGAGGCCCTTTACGTACCCCAACGGCCGCCCAAGTAAAGCTGATGTGTGGGAAACACTGATATTAATATCAATCTGACCGGCCCACCCCAAAACAAATAGTCCGGCCCTTCTGGCATATGCCAGAATTGCCAGGTGGCCAATCCACCCCTGGTTTCCTGTGTGAAACAAAAAGTCAACACTGAATGTTTTTATTCAAGTTACATAAGTAACGTAGTTATTTTAACCAACACCATGATCTTTTCCTAAAGCTAATCAAGTAGTTTTGTTGCCTAAACCTAACCAAAACTGCAATGTTTCACAACGTTAACTGCTAGTTTTATTTTGAAAGTCTACTGGACGTTGCATATTTGTTGTTGTTAACTTGACTGCGGAGCCCTAGACATCCAAAAACCAAGCCTAAAGGCTACCTAGGGCATTAAAAAGCAACGCCAAGGAGTGTTGACCAAGTGTTGGGAGAGGGAATATGTTGTCTATTACCTGATAGATCAGGATTTAGCCTCCATGCATTTTTGCCAAGATGGTTACCGCAATTTCTTGCCCTGTAGTTCCACGTTTTTTTCCTGCTAGTGTTTGACAAACTTTGCGTCGAGTCCTGCACCCGACTCTCCCTCTGATTTGCTAACCCTAACCTTAAGCAACCCTACCCAACGGAGGCAGCGGAAGTACTGACCAATCAGATGTATGAGTTATCAAACTCTGGGAGGAAAAATCACTCCGTTGTTCCACCAGAGAAGAAGTGTTATAATTTATCTTTTTCATTTTGACACATTATAAAGCTCAATTTAACTAAATATATCTCCATGTTCATTCTGGATTTTATTTGCCAGTAATTGTGACATTGCAGCAATTTTGCAGCCACTTTGTTGACTGCAGTTCTTTTTGCCAAGAATTGCAGAGATCTTTAGGATGATGTGAACTATCTATCACACACCACCTGTTTAAAAACATTTAGTGTTTTCAGTGTGTTCAATCTTAACACTGAGTTTTGAAGTATAGCGACCCAATGTAATAATTAGGCCGTTGAACTCATGTAAAAGAGTTGGACTTTGCTGCGTTATCCTATTCTGCTAATCAACCGCCCACCCAATCCAGACATAAGGACTAACCCACACCTGACCATATGCTGTTTTTATAAGTGGTTATATGACCTCTTACATGGCTCTCCAGTGCTCAGGTTGAAGCAGAACCACAGGTACAACCCGGTTATCCAGCTGTGATGTTTTCCTATAGGTGGTCTATGAATAATGTGGCAAAGCCATTCATATCGTCTGTTATCTGTGTGCTTTGACTTTCTGTTAAATGTATCTGCAATTATAAAAATGGTAATAAGTAAGTAGAGAGTAGTAGTATCAAGTAAACATGCTACAAATTAGCATCCTAACACAGCAGGTAATTGATTACGTGTTGTGATACCATGCCCGTGCATCTCCTACAGAACCTTACTTTCTCTGCACTCTAATCAACATCAGGCCACTTTGTGCATTGGTTGTAAACATTGCTGTAAATCTCTGCAACTTATTTGCATATTAAACCAGTTCATTGTGCTGTTTGTGATTTTAAGTTGGTAGAATACTGTGAAAGGATCCTTTTAAGTGCACAAATGCATTTTCACATAAAGTTTTTGGTGGATCACATGTGTGACGAATTCACCGGACCAGTTTGATGTCATGCTAAATTGACACATTTTAAATGGAGTTTTGTTGCTTTAGTTCATCCAGTTAAGGAAAAACACAGTGTATGTTGGGAAGTCAGCGAACCAGATAGTTCAACAGTTTATTTAACAAAAGGCGAGCGCACTTACAAGTAGTGGCTGAATACAAAGTAAAGTCCACAAGGGCAAAGGAAAACACAAAGTCCAAAAACAGGGTTCAGGCAGAAATCCAAAAACAGACTGAGCTTCTCCTCACAACGAAAATACTGCAACACAAGGTATAATGACTCAACAAAGACAAGACAGAAACACCAGGTAAATATACAGGGACTAACGAGCAGGGCGGGAGCAACACAGGTGATACTAATGGGATTAACGAGACACAGGCAGGCAGAGAGAGAGCGGGGGGAAAAACCGATAGAACACTTGACAGGCAGACATGGGGCAAAATGAATAACCAACAAAGACAGAGACACACATGTTACAAAGTACCAGAACCTAAAGGAGAACACACCACCTTCTTGTAAATGTCAGTATCTCTGTACTTTCTACCGTCAACAAAAGACATTATATTCATGTTTTTGACAACATGAATTAAAAAATTGGTTTCCTCCTCGCTCCAGAGGTACGGTGCTGTGCTGCGTCTCGCCATGTTTACCTCGTTTACTTCCGTATACTGCACGCGGGTTTGGCGCATACAAGAAGTTCCTCTACTCAAAAGACCAAGATTCCTTGCGAACATGCGCAGAACACAAATCACTATGGGGATATGCCGATACGCGTTTACATGACCAAAAATTCGGGTTAGAAAAGGGGTACCCCAGGTATAATATCCCGGTTTTTAAAATCCGAGCATATTCGGGTTTTTGCCGGTGTTTACATGGCCGTTCGCGACCGGGTTATTGCTAATATCCCGGTTTTGAACGGGTTATTGGCTGCATGTAAACGCAGTCAATGTTTTAGCAATGTTGGCTTGTTGGTCCACAGACCACCAATATTTCAACATCTGCTGGATAGATTGGCACAAACCTTTGTGGATCTCAGAGGATGAAACCTACTGACCTTCCTCTGACTTTTCATCCTTTAAATTTTCCAATACTGTTTACTGTTTATGACCAAAATTTGCAAAACCGACATTCAGTCCGTTCAGCCCCAGCTGCACTTTGTGTTAATTACTTACCAGCACATGCTAACACGCTAACATGCTAACACGCTAACATGCTAACACGCTAACATGCTAACACGCTAAGCTACAGTGAACATGGTAATATACATGCAAAACATCGGCATGTTTGTGAGCACGTTAGCATGCTGACATTAACATTACTTTCATTTGTTTACTGAATTTGTTTCATCTAATTAAAAAATGTGTGTTATGTTGAGATTCAATTTAAGTTCATGTTAGCTTTTAGCTTTGTTCATGAACTCAAGTCAAATGTTTTATGGTGATCAAAATATAGTGAATAGTAAAATAATGAGTTCTTTTTTGTCTTGTACGTGTGTGTGACGTGTTTTCTTCCTGGAGTTATTCAGACGGATGCTTTGTGGTTTCATTCACGTCATTCTTTCACTTCCTCTCTATCGCTTTATCTCCCTCTGTCTCTCCCCCCTCGTGTCTCTCTCTCACGCCATCTCTCTCTGTAAACACTGTCCACATAAATTATTTGTTTTTAAACTTCATCAGTGTGGCTGAAGCAGACAAAGACATAAAATAAAATCTTTATTCTTCTTTTTTCTCCTCATGTCTTTCTTTTGTCATCTTTTCTTCACATCTCTTCTTCACCTTCCACACTTCCTCCACCCACCTGCATTTCTTTCTCTCTCTCTCTCTCTCTCGCTTTCTCTCTCTCTCTTTCTCTCTCTTTACCTCTCTCTGTCTCTGTCGCTTTGCTTTTTCAAGGTTTCCCACCTATGATCAGACTGACCCCGTCGATGCAACTGATTGCAGGGAAATCATCACTGACCTTTAAAACTGAAGAAGCTTTGAACTGAAGAAGAAAACCTGGAGCTCAAGAACAGATAGAAGAAGAGGAGGAAGAGGAGGAGGGAGAAAGAGCAGCAGAAGAAGAAGAGACGCTAAGACAGTAGATCATGATTCACTCAAGTAAGTACCTGTACCTACAGAATCTGCAGATTCAACACTTGATGATAAACTATATCTCATAGACGGGAACACACACTTTTTACATACACAAGGTTACGAGAAGAAACGGTACGTTCTTCCTTTTGAAACAGCAGCAGGATACGGCAAACAATAACGAATCGAACAAATCCATACAACTGACACGTTCGGCAATGCTGAGTAGAAAGTACGAAGGAAACGTCTGAGAAGAAACGTGAACTTCAGCTCAGTCACGCTGTGAAATGTTGCGATAAACTGATGAGAATTTACTGGGTCAAAGGAAAAAATTTGTGTAAAACATGCAAAAATGAAAATGTGACAAAGTCACTAACCTAAAAGTCTTTTCATGTGCAGTATATGGGTATCAGAAGAGAAATTTATAAGAACGTGAAGTAGACGGTAGGGGAAATGCACCAAAAAGCATTTCAAAAGTGACGGTTTGGTTTAAGAACGCAAACTCAGTTACGTTTCTGTCTGCTGTTTTAATGTCATTTTAATGTTGTGTGTCCGAGATGTGCAGAGTGGTGGAAATGCAGACTGAAAGCTCCATAAAGGCAGAGACTCCTTTCTGCAAAGTAGCGCCTTTCAACTGCTGAGCACATAGAAACAGTTTCACTTCTGTTTCTGTCACTGGCACAAAGGGCCGGTTAGCTACACAGGGGTCTATAGGGGCCTTTTGAAGTTACACAGCCTGTATCAGAAACGCTTTTGCACCAGTGTAGTCCGTGTTTTTGTCTCTCATGTTTCATCATTACAACAGAGAAAACTAAGCATCTTTCTTAAAATTAAAAAGTCTACAGTATTATCTACTGTATAAAAGAAGTGGACGCAGCCACTGTGACGTCGCCCATTGGTTTGTTGACTACCGTTTTGAAGCCTCAAGTTTGGCATTTTGGACGCCGTCATCTTGTTTTTTTGGAACTAGACATGATCGGAATTGAACATATTCGGACAAGAGGGTGGAGCTCGCCAGCTTGGTTAGTAAGTGCAACCGTCTATCACGTTAACTGGGATGCTAATTTTGGCTAGTGGCTTAAACAAAATGTACTTACTGGAAAAAATGAACAGCTGACTTCGTAGAGTGTCTTTTAGTACAACTGAACACTGAACAAGTGACCAAAATGGTACAAATAACTTTCATGAAGTGAAAATACACTGTGAAAGGGTCGAAGCGAACGAAAATACAGACAGCAGCCAAAATCAAGTTCACACCTAGTTAAATATACACAGTGCAGCTGATATGATCAGAGACGTTTTATAGAGGAGACGCCATTTTAATAATCCACAATACAGCTCTATAGGGAAAGCCTGTATTGCCAAAGATGGCAGTTATCCTGCCCCTCCCACTAAGAAGACTATTGTCTGCTTTTAACAGCCAAGCCTGGGGGAAATATTTCAGCCAATCATGGGGTTTCACTGACAGAAGGGTCTATTACGTCTAACCGGTGGGGAAAAACTTATTTTGGGGCAAAGTCATCAAACTTTTTCAGCAATTTTTATCAGATTTTACAGTTTGATTCTCTACTTGCAGTTTTTATGTCCCGGTGACCAGTGAAATTGCAGGGATGGCTCTCTCTCCCTTCATTTAGACAGAGGTCTGATGTTGTTAGTCTGTTATAACTACCGTTACCAAGATGGCTCCAGAGTGGCAGGACTTGCCAATTCATAGTTTTCAGTCACGTGACATGAACAGTGATCTGGAGGGCAAAATAACAGACTAAGATAGCGGCTCACACCGGACTCCCTTGTAGAGACGCCGCAAAAGCCGTTAAGTTTAATTTGGATCACCTCTCAACTCAAGAAAAAAATAGATATGGACACAAACTGCAAGTGCTGGGCACTTGCGATCCATATTCAGCACCCACTGCCGTATTTCTGCCGTTAAAAACAGCCAGTTCCCTGACAACAATTGACTGTGGTAATGTTTATGTTTACCTTGAAGGCAATCCCTCACCTAACACAGCTCAGGCAGCTCGTCAACTCATCTATTAGAGCATTTGAATGAACAACAACCATCCAGCATTTTGGCAACGCAAAAGTAACTAACTCAAAGTAACAGTGTATCACTTGCTTCCTGGTTTTTTCACTCCAAGGGAGCGTTTTCCTTGGAATGTGACGTCATGTGAAAACTATGAATAAGGACTTTGATACGACTCATCTCTGTCCTGATTGACAGGTCACCATGGTAGCGATTTGCGTCTAGACTAGTGCTTTTGGATTTGACCGCTGCCTTTGATAAGGTTAATCACTCCATACTTTTATACCGACTCGAATAGTGTGTCAGCATTAGGGGCATAGGGGTCCAACACAGTGTTTCCTTTCATTGTTTTGCAGATGATATACAAATCTATTTGCCTGTAAAATCAAATGACAAAGCCTCAGTCCTTTCTTAACTGCCTGAGAGATCTTAAAATATGGTTGGATCAGAACTTTCTCTCTCTCTCTTAATGAAAGTAAGACTGAGGTTTCTGTGTTTCGTCATCCTGGGGATTTAAGTGCTTGTGTAGATGTTATTGATACTTTAGGATTGTATAGTCGTTCATTTAAGAATCGTCCAAGAATCTGGGTGTGAACTTCGACAGTAGTTTTAAATTTAAAAAACAGATTAGTTCTGTTGTGAAAGCCAGTTTCTTTCAGCTGAGACTGCTGGCTAACGTTAAGCTAAGCCTGCCGCGCAAAGATTTTGAAAGAGCAATCCTTACATTTATAACATCTAGGCTAAGATTTTATTGCTTGTTTTTAAGATTTTAAATGGGTTGGCATCTTCTTATTCATCAGAACTTTTACATGTTTACACTCCCGTCAAAGCACTGAGATCATCCAATCAGATGCTCCTCGATGTCCCCAGATCCAGGTTATAAAACAAAGGTGACCGAGCCTTTTCCTAATCTTTGGAATATTTAACCTGTTCAAATAAGAACTGCTCGGACTGCTGACATTTTCAAGTCCTCAAGACCCACCTCATTGGCCTTCAAATCAGGCTGAGGGTTGTTTTTAAATGTGCTATATAAATAAATTAATATAGCACATTATGCCAAATGACCCTTCTCATATCATACACTGTATTTTGTAGGATGATTATTAATATTGACACTTTAATGTCTGAGCAGCATTTGTATTGCAGCTGTTAAATGAGCAAAAACCTGGATAATATGAAAACATTTCCATCTGCAGTTGCTCATGCCACCCTCATCTCCAACACTTTGGTCAGAAACATGCACACCCACTGGAGGTAGGGCTCTGGCTGTGCTCCTCCTGTTCCTCCTTGCACAATGGAGCAGATACTGGTCCTGCTGCTGGGTTGATGCCCTTCTACGGCCTGTGCTGGGAGACACAGCAAACGTTCTTGCAACTGAAGAGCTGGACTGCCTGTGCAACCTGAATGGGCTGCAGCAACACATTCTCACTACCAAGTGGTCACATATGGACTCTTGGTCACCACCCCTTGGCGTTGCGTTTGAACGCCCTTGGTACTTCTAGCATTGTTTTTGGACGTGGAGGGCTCCGTTATCAAGTTAGCAACAATACATATACAACGTCCAGTTAATTAACTTAAGTCACATTACTTGCTAAAGATACTCAATGGATGTGACCTACGCAACAAATAAAAACACTCACGGTTGACTTTTTGTTTCACACGGTAAACAAACACTGGCATCCTGCTTGAAAGTTCGGTTTCTGGTCCATTTGTCCACCCTAAGCACCTCCTACTACATATTATAAACCTACCTTTAGCATAAAAAAAATGACTCTACAGGGCTTCCCCCAGTGTGTTGAACTATGACGCTAAATGGGGTCCCCAATGTGTTACAAACTGACTCCAATGGGTCTTGACCATGCGTCCATTTGTGATGACTTGGTAGTGAGAACAGGTTGTCAGGTACCACCTCATGTTACCAGTAGTAACAAGGATGCTGGCAAAACACAAAACTAGAGAATAATCAGTCATGAAGGATAAGGATAGAGCAACTGTCTGTGGCAAACACCTGGAAAACCATTCCTCTTTTTAGGGAGTTGTCTTGCTGCCTCTCCAGTGCACCTGTTGATGTATGTTATACTGTGATTATGTCTTCCCTTAATTTTTGAGCAGTGTATTTAGTTACTTTCCACCACTGGAAATACAGTAAATGTTTTTCAATTGAAAATCTGTTCAGTCCTGTACAGGTGTTGCGATATAGCTTTATAAGCTAAGTCTTCAACTAAGTTTTCAATTTGCGTGTGGAGGAAGGAACTTCTTGGGCAGCCTAAAAAAAAAATAACACCAGAGAAAGTGTGTTGGTGGGATGTTGGTTCACCACAAACCGCCAGAAGAGTTCTCAGTCCTCATGGCATCGACTCATGGGACGCTAACAGGTGAATCTCAAATCTGCTTTTATTTTGGCAGTCACCTTTTAAATCAAATGACAATCATCGACACAGTCTAACTCAGACACACACACAACGACAGAAACAGGAAGACGTGCTGCAAACACACACACACACACACACATACATAATAACACAAACGGTGAGAAATTTACCCACGCACAGCTGTCTGTTCACTCGCCCACAGAAAGACACACACGGACCTACCCAGAGATAAAGAGTGTGTTAGTTCTGCAGAAAAGGAAACTATACTTCCTGACAAAGACCTCCTACTCAAAACCACAAACATCCACAGAGAGAGAGAGAGTTCAACTAAAACAAAACTGTAAAAGCCTGAGTGAGGCTTGCACTCAGTCAGGGTAAATATTAGTGGTCAATTCTGTTATGGCAGAAAACTGTGTCCTCTTACATTTAATCTTTTATGTATGATCTTTTAACATTATTATTATTACTATTCTCGTTATGGCTTATAGATATATGTATTGTGTTTTTTATCCTTAACCTCTATATATATATATAATCCTTATGTTAGTCTGTCCACATTTACTAGGGTTTAGGTCAGAGCTGTGAGATTTTTTGGGTGTTTTCCTCTCTTGTTGTTCCTCTCCTCTCCTGTAATGTTCATTCAAGGCCGAGAGAGGATCTCTGTTCCCCAAAACATAGAAAACTAGACTGTGTAAATGATGATGCATCCCTCTGCCCAGGGCCAGATGCCCGAAGCTGCCCTAGGCAGCAGGTCTCTGGACCAGCTGTATATGTGTTGTAGTACTTCTCTGTTTATTCTCTTTTGTTAAATAAATTCTTCAAAGGCAACAATTGGTTGTAACTCAATTCTCTGCTCAACCTGTCATCAGGAATATAATTTCCACGACAGACTGATATGGGTTTTTCAATGGCCAATGCCCATATTTAGAGAGCAGGGAGGCCGGTATATAATGCCATATCAAGACAAAGAAAAGTCATGTATAATCCTATTGTTCCTGCAGAGTACAATCAAGTATACATGTTATCTTAAAGTAAAAGGTTGCTTTAAATGCAACTTTTATTAATAAATGAATTAGAAAAATACATTGGGTACTGCTGTAGATTTCACGGATCTCAAAATGCCAGTTATCATTCCAATTAGTTGCCCGACTCGTTCTATCTATCACTAGTAAATATTGGTGACGTAGTGAGTCTACAGCATCAAATTAGATTATTATGTCCCTTTTTAAAGAAAAAAGAGATGACAACACAGCAACCAAGGAAATCAAGTGAAAGTGGTAGTGACAATTAAAAGGGGCTTTATTTCTTATTATTATTTATTCAGACAGTGCATGTTAATAAAACATTGATGTAATTGCGGCAGAGGTATCCAAAAGACTATTTCTCATTTGTAGTCCCTGGACAGTTGTTAATTCAATTCAATTCAATTTTATTTATATAGTGCCAAATCACAACAACAGTTATCTCTGAGCGCTTTTCATAAAAGAGCAGGTCTAGACCGTACTCTGTGATGTTATTTACAGAAGCCCAACAATTCCCACCAAGAGCAAGCACTAGGCGACAGAGGAAAGGAAAAACTTCCTTTTAAGAGGCAGAAACCTCGAGCAGAACCATGGCTCAGGGTGGGCGGAGGGAGAGAGAGAGAGAGAGAGGGATGGAGAGGAACAGAGAGAGAGAGAGAAAAAATACAAAATTATGAGTCATTATGAGAGCATGCAAGAAAAGAAGCAAGAAAAATTAGATGAATGAAAATATTAATTTAGACATTGTACTGATATATTTCCTTCTGTAATTCATGTTCTAAAAAGATATGCAACATGCAACCCAAAAGCTCTCAATGAGAATATAAACATTAACTGATAGGTAGCATCCCACACAGTACTCAGTCAAACTAAGAACAGAATCACAAATACAGACATGCATGTAGGTACATGAGAGCAGACTGGCAGTAAGAAAGCAACAGGCGACAGCTGACAACCTGAGGACAGCGACATGCAGACAGAGCTGAGTACTGATTACCCATCTTTTAAACTGAAATGAGCTTTATGTGTCCAATTCTCTTATAGCAGCTGGGATGATGCAGCTTTTCTATGCCCTCTTGCTGAACCTGTTGTGCAACGGTGCGCAGTTCGTGTATTAACAAACTGACTGAGTGGAGGAGAAGTCAGTAATCTATATATATAATCTTGTACATGAGACAAGCATTTACATTTACAAGTTAATACTGAATATTCAACAAAGGTTCTCAAAATGTGAGAGAGGATTGGATCAGGTGGTTGTGCCAAATAAATGAGTTGAAAACAATATAACATCTAAACCTAACTAAAGGTTCTTTCACACTGCAGGTTTTAATGCTTAACTCTCTTTTACTTTATTATATATATAATATTTTTTTTTTCATTGACTGTTGGCCTATATTAGTCTCTATTCTGAACCAGCCATAGCCTGAAAGTGACCTGCATGCACAAAAGAATAATACGCCATCACACACAGCACGCTGTTAACCATGGAGGCCACAGAGGTTATAGTGCACTTCACTTCTGTTTTTCATTGCCCTCTCCCAGTTTCCTTCACGGGGTCACAATTCTACCGATTTATGGCAAATGTTCACAACTTCGTGTCTGTTTCTGGCACTGTACAGGATAGGAGTCCTGCAACTCTCTCTCTCTACCATGTTGCTCTAGAGTGATGTCAGAGTTGCATGAATTTCGATCTCACTGTCCAGATTTCGATCTCTGATTTAGACCACATATGAAAGTGGCCCTAATCCGAACTGGGAAAGATCAGATACCATGTGACCTGGGTTGTTCCCACTGTTAAAAATTAAAAATCAGATCTGACCTACATATGAGCAAAAACAAAGGCGATTTGGGTCATTTTAGCCCGCAGCAACAAAATACAAACAAAAGGCTGAACTATCTTATCTGCAAAAAGAACAAAAACAACCAATAAACCTTGTGTTTCTTGACAAAGTGAACTACATGTGAATTTGAAGGCTACGCCAAACTTTAACCTCCCACCAAATACCTTTCTTTATAGATTTAACAAGTGTGTTCATGCATAATGCAACTGCAGAATAAGAGTCAGAAACTGTGAACTCTTCAGGCAGCCTTATTTTATTGAGGGCTTAGTATGATCATTGGCCAGCTTAAGACTTGTTCGACCAATGAACAACAAGGTCAGAGGCCATTATTGCGCCTGGAGAAAACAGGAGATAGGGGGAGAGACAGAAAGCAGGAATAAAAAACACATATGGCCTGCTTGGCACTTACCACCAATCGTAATTATCTGTTTTTAAACATGAAGACAGCACTAGGCAGGTACATATCACATGGTAAAGATGTTAAAATTGGTAGAGACAGAACTAGTACTAGTAATTTGTATTTATTTATTTAAGCCTCAGTGAGTTGAAAATCTAATTTTAGGAGTTTACTGGCCAAGAATCTGCAACAAATTGCATAAAACAGATACTTTATATTTATCAGGATTAACAGTCAATCATTGTCAAACAACATGACTCCCCTCTATGTGATCACAGTGTTAACATTTTTGCTCTTCTTCTGTTTTCTGCTCCAGATCACTCCAGCCACTCAGTCTTCTGCTGCTGTTGTGCTGTACAGACCAGGTAAAAAGATGCATACAGCCGTTGCAAAAGGGCAACTCCATTTTAGCGACTCTCTTTCTAATCCTAATAAAACATTGACTCCTATTTTATAATTCATTAGGTTGCAATCTGACTCTGGTAATTAAAGTTAGTGATTCCCTGAGATTCATGCATAAAAACACTGAAGCTAATCTCAACCACACACTTGTGAGGGATATGTTTTGTTGTTGTTATTTGATGTGATTTCACATGCACGTCAGGCTGTACTTGCTTTGAGCTGAATGCTCATATCAACATGCTAACAAGCGCTCACTGACAATGCTGACATGCCAATGCTAAGCAGGTTTAATGTTTGCCATGTTCATTATCTTAGCAACATTTGTTAATTAGCACTACACTCATAGACGGGATAAAAGCAGTCGGCACAGCCACTGTGACATCATCCGTTGGTTTGTGGACTACTGTTTTAAAGCCTCAAGTTTGGTATTTTGTCCGTCACCATCTTGGTTTTTTGGAACCAGTTTTCTGTTTTTTTCTGAATTCACTGTAATATTAATTAGGATGCTAATTTTGGATAGTGAAAAACATTCTTTTAACAAAATGTACTTTACTGTCTGATTTATTGATTGATTTATTTCAGGGAGATCAGCACCCGCATGGAGCTGGAGGGAAGCACATCCCTGTGTTTCCAGAGCCGACGATATCCAGGACAAGCCTGCCGGGTAAGACAGATCGTTTGTGTATAGTGTGTACATGTGTGCACTGTTTGTTTTTATTTGTTAATTATTTTTCTCTGCTCTCTCAGGTCGACAGGTCGAGGAGGAGGCTGCCTCTCCCCCCTCCTGAAGACGTGGATGGTGTAGGTCCAGGTTTGCTAAGTGTCGTCGCCATGTATGACTTCACCGCCAAGGAGGACACTGACCTCACACTCAAACAGGTACTCATAAACACACACACACTCACACACAAAGACACAAGCCAAGCAGTAGATGTTTGATGATGCAGTGTGTTGTATCCACAGGGGGAGGAGTACATCATCCTCCACAAACAAGACCAGCTGTGGTGGAGAGCGCAGGACAAACATGGGTACATTGAATAAAAACACAATTCTATTGGAATAGATAAATTACATGTTAGTAAGCTTACACACTAAATGACAATGGTGAACATGGTAAACATTATACCTGCTAAACATCAGCATGTTAGCGCTGTTAGCATGCTGATGTTAGCATTCAGCTCAAAGCATAGCAGGTTTCCAAAGCTGTTCAAATATGTAACGAGCAGTTCTGATGAAGCATACTGACAGCTTTGTTTGTCTTGTTAGCAAATGTTAGCACATTAGCATAGGAATGCTAGCACTGTCAATGCTGAGGCTATGTACAGCAAAGGCTTGAAGTAGGACTTATATTAATAAACTTCAGCAAAGTTTTACAGTGTAGAGTTGAGACTGAGCTGAAAATGTTGTTAGACCCTGCAGATAATTCATGTTGCCTTTCTACTTGTTTCTATCAGGAATAAAGGATTCATCCCCAGTAACTACGTCACAGAGAAAAACAGAATCGAAGCTAACTCGTGAGTCTTGTATTGTTTCACGTTTGTCTGTTTAATGTTCAAACATAACATAGAAGAACAGTATACAAGTATTCAACATTTTGCTTTGGTGTCAGAGGCAGCAGATGGGTTGTTTAGCTGTTTTTCTCACTGTAAAGCAAAGCTTTGATTGTTTATTCTTTTTTATGAAACTCATTAATTACTTTTAATCATCAAAAGACAACAATTAAACTATTAATTGTGTTTCTTCTGTGGAGGTGGTACTGCAAGAACATCACCAGGACAGAAGCTGAGCAGCTGCTGAGACAGGAGGTATCTATCAACCTGTCGGTGTACCTGGTTCGCTATCTGTCTGTTAATACCTGCATGCAGGGGCGTGGCTTTCTGAAAGAAACTTTGATACACACACCTCTATATATTTGCTGTGGTTAGAGCTGAATCATGTTGTAGTAGATCTACAGTGCAACCTTAGCTAAAATGGTATATATAGATGTTAAACTGAATATCTAAGAAAATATAAATAGATAAATAAAGATATCACCTTGGTTAGACGGACTTGGTCAACTCTTATTGGTGAAGTAGGCAGTAGTGCATATTTATCCCTGATAGACACTCTCTATGTCCCAATAAGGTTATAATTCACCCCTCTATCCATGTGTGAAGAGTCTATTGGACATTGGTTGAAAACAAGACACCTAAGTCACGTTGTGTGTGATTCAAGCCACATGCAAGACCTCTTTCTGAAGAAAACCAGGCAGTCTGTCTGTGACGAAACAAAATAAAGATGAAGATGACTCAACTGTGGGTTGCCTAGGAGATTAACAGTGTTCATTCTTATCAAGACAGCTGTGTCAGTGAGTCAGACAAAGATGAGAGACATTGTTTGAGTCACATGCCGTCATCTTTGGCTTACTTTAGCACAAATTGTTGTGTTTGTAACATTGTGACAGCCTTTTAAAGAAGGAAAATTCTATACACTAAGCTGATAATAATAAACATAAGAATATGATGGACGGATGATTCAATGATTAACAGTAGTTGGATTGTTGAAGTGTCACTGCCACTGGTGGAGCTCCTCCCTTTTTTTAATGTTCAAGTGACATCTGGTTGTTTTCCAGGGAAAAGAAGGTGGTTTTGTGGTGCGGGAGTCCAGTCAGAAGGGAGTCTACACCGTCTCTGTCTACACAAAAACATTAAGGTGATTCACATCAGACCATGTAAACAGACACAACAACAATTCACATATACAGTAAAGATTTACCTGTAACCTGTTTGTTTTTTGTGTGTGCATGTGTGCAGTGATAATGGAGATATAAGGCATTACCAGATCAAAATAACAGACACCGGACAGTTCTTCTTGGCTGAAAAACACACCTTCAACTCCATACCCGATGTCATACACTACCACGAACACAATGCAGCAGGTACAAACACTCACACTATTTGTTAAAGACAACACTGATACATATAAGGCTTCATTTGATATGGTTCGGTATGTGTTTGTAGGTCTATTGACCAGGTTGCGGTATGCAGTGGGGCCAATGGGAAGGTGTGTACCCGCCACATCAGGATTCAGCTCAGGTAGATCAATAAACACACATTTATTCAAAGCTGCTCTATGTATTATTTCACATTCATAGATTAATAATACCTATTGTTACATTTGAACCAGGCAAAACACATATTTAGAATTAAGTTGGATTCTCTTTTCATAACACAAGTGCAAACAAACAAAGACAATTTGTATTATTCCCAGTTTATTATGGCAAAAGTCAGGACTGTCTCCTGTTTCCTTTCTTGTTTGTAGTTGCTCTTGAGCCTCTTGCAATTAAGTACTTAAGTTTAGTGGAGGGAAAGCTGGAGATTAGCGTAAAGTTTCTTTATATGCAGACGATCGCTTGCTTTAAATATCAAATCCTGTGGGATCTTTCCCTATTTGTGGACGTATTATTATTAAGTAGCCTTTGAACAGTTCCAGAAATGAATGTAACCATGCATCTGGGTATTAAAGTGCATTTGAAACAGACTAGTGCTTAACCTAGTCAAGGTGCCAACAAGATGCTGACTGATTCACTGACTACGGGAAGTGAAATGCAAGTGAAAAAAGAATTTGATGTTCAGAAAGTGAATGACAGAGACTTGGTTTCATGTTCCTAAAGACAAAACCTGTGAGTTGTCAGATTACCAGAATGTTCCTGGGGTAACAAGGCAGTTTATGTGCAAGCTTCTTGTGGAAATACTGTAGGCTTACCTATCCAGTCTATAAGAACTTGACTGAATTTACGGCAGCCTGGGTCACCACATCACATACTGGTGTCCTCTTCAATGGATATATGGAGAAGGAGTTGGTTCTACTGTAGACAAGGGAGCACTGGGAAGTCAAAGGGCACATTATATTCTATGAGGATTTCAGCACCTCATTGACCAAAAAATAAGCAGCCTTCTACAATGTGGAACCTAAGCTCTGGAAGCAGTTTCATTTGGTATGTTGTTTCCATTAAGATGAATGGCCTCAATCACGACTTTGACTCCCCAGAGATCTTATATTAGCAGCATCTCAATGAAAGACAAACTGTTACATAACTCTCATTTGGGTGCGCCAAAGGAACAATTGTACTTGTAGCTGCACTGCTTCATAAGTGCTGAGCAGACAGGTGACATGTTGCATCTCCAGGGAAGCCAGTTCTCATGAATACATTCAGAACCAGTTGAACCAGCCTGATTTCAATTGCATTGCTACGTGGCTAAAAATAACTCAAGCAAGTTTCAAGTCTATTTTATTGTAATTGAGGAACACCTTTAAGGTAGAAAAATGCACTCACCAATTTAAAAAAACAAGAGTATTGAAACATTTGTGTGGTGTGATAAACGAGCATGCTTAACCACCACAATGGTCCTGTTAAAGAAAATGAGAACCCTAACTCATGTTTCTCTTCTGTCATTCACCTTTCTGCCTCTCTTCTTCCTCTCTTTTCCCTCTCTTTTTCCATCACTCCAGAGAAGTGGGAGATCGATCCCAACGAGTTGACCTTCATGAAGGAGCTGGGCAGTGGTCAGTTTGGTCTGGTGAGGCTCGGCAAGTGGAGGGCTCAGCAGAAAGTGGCCATCAAGGCCATCCGAGAGGGAGCCATGTACGAGGAGGACTTCATCGAGGAGGCCAAGGTCATGATGTAAGGAGGGGGGGAGGATTAAGATGGAGAAAAAACAGGGAGCAGGGAAACAGTTTTGGCAACTTCACTGTTGTCACCACAAGGAAGTTAAACTGTGTGTGTTTGTTTGTTGTCTCTACCAGGAGGCTGTGCCATCCTAAACTGGTGCAGCTGTATGGTGTTTGCTTGCAGCAGCGCCCCCTGCTGATCGTGGCCGAGTTCATGGAGAACGGCTGCCTGCTGAACTTCCTACGGCAGAGGGGCGGCACTCTGAAGGATGCATGGCTTCTGTCCATGTGCCAGGACGTCTGTGAGGGGATGGAGTACCTGGAGGCACACAGTTTTATCCACAGAGACCTGGTGAGTCACTGTTAGTGTATGTATGGGTGTGTGTATGTATAGTTTGTTTAATACATAATCCAAAACACAAGTGATGATGGGGGAGGGATAACAATGCAGCTGACTTGTGTTCAGCTGTGTCTTCACTTAATTAATTGCAAAAGAGGTAGAAGAAAATGTGGGAGAAGTATTCAGATCTTTTACTGATGTAAGATTGTAGAGAAAGGAGACCACAGTCAGCTGTCTAGATCAAATTAGGGTGGGGTGACTGCTCTCTCCCTTCACTACAAAGAGAATACCACACAGTGAAAATACTACACTACAAGTGAAAGTTCTCAACTGTTCACAATCTCAGGGAAACTTGTTGAGAAGCTTGTGTTCAGCTTTATGACGCATAGTTTAAATAGTTTCACTATCTGAAGAAGGAGTAGAACTTTTGCAATCCATAAAGGAACTTCATCCTTCACTTTATCACAATCATTCACCTTTTAAAATCCCCACATTTTGTTTTCAATGGACACTGTGACAGGAAGGGGGGGGGACTGTTATGTGAAAAGTGAAACTAATAACTAATGCTGTCAGATAAATATAGTGGAATTAAAAGTACAATATTTGTACTTTGTATATTTAATAAAGTTGCATAAAATAGAAATAGTCAAGGAAAGTAGAAGTACCTTGAATTTGTACTTGAATAAATGTATCTGGTAAAAGCTACTTCCTCTGACTCTACATTATTAGACTGAAGTGGTTCACGGAGCTCATGTTAACTGTTGTTTGTTTTAGACAATTTATTCATCGGTTTGTTTGGTTGCTCATATAGATGGAGTCTTAATTTGTCAGATAATAAGCTATCTCTGGAAAAAAAATTGTATATACAGTATTATAGCATGTTTCTATCACAGTATAGATATATACTGTGATATATATATATATATATATATATAGATAGATAAAGTTGCATAAAATTAAATTAATTAATTTTAATTTGGTACAGTATTGAGCGGCTGCTCTTCTCACACAGCCTATAGGACAAAATGGTTAAGGTGCATATTTGTTAAAGTTTCTTGCTTGTCTTTCTCTCATCCAGGCAGCCAGGAACTGTCTGGTCAATGAGCACAATGTGGTAAAGGTCAGCGACTTTGGAATGACCAGGTACGGCTGCCACTTTATTTCAAGTTTTAAAAGAAAAATTCAACATTTGCACAGTTAGTTGAGCAGATTGCTACTAGTCTCATATCTACCTGTATGGTAAATATGAAGCCACAGCCAGCAGCTGGTTAGGATAGCTTATTTTCTCATAAAGACTGGAAACAGTGGGAAACAGCAAGCCTATCTCTGTCCAAAGGTAACTAAATATGCCTGTCAGCACCTGTAAAGCTTGCTATGTTTAATAAATACATAAACCAAAGAATAAATGTTTTTCCAATTTACTGGAATCATTTGATATAGTCTGGCACCTAACTAACTCCCTGTAAAACTGCAAATTGCCATTTTTACACCGTTTAAAATTAAGCAAAATATTACATTTATTACCTTTTGGTATGTCCAGGTCCAGATTCTTGCGCAAAGCTAAGGGTGCCTTCACACCGACCTTGTTCCATCCGGTTGAACCAATTATTCAATTACATATGACATATGCACGACCCTCTAGAGTCTGATATGTCTCTCTGATATGTGCTCCAGACCAACACCAATATGAACCTAACGGTGCTCCATGATTTACAATATCCAGGGAGAAATTTGGAGGACTGCGTTGTCTTTTTACCCACTGACTATATGGCCAACAATCAAATGATATGGCTTTTTTTTAATTTTACATTTTCTGGACCATTAGTTGCCTTTGTGAACGCAAACCAGACCAGCTGGCAAATTTAAACAATGCATCATTCTCACTTTGGTTTGATTCAGGATCCAGACCTTTAGGTGTGAACCCGCCCTAAGCTAACTGGCTGTTGGTATCAGTCTTCTTAAATAATCTCCCAGCGAAGGAGCAAACAAGTGTGTTTCTCAAACTTTCTAACCATTTAATAGAGGAAACTAAACTACTATAACTTATACATTAAAATTTCTAACAATGTATTGTGTTTCAGCTGTGTCTCTGGCAGTTTTGCAGCATCAGCTTTTCTATAGTTGTGTTTTTTAATGTTTGCAGGTACGTTCTAGACAACCAGTACACCAGTTCTAGTGGTGCGAAATTCCCAGTGAAGTGGTCTCCTCCTGAAGTTCTCCACTACAGTAAATACAGCAGCAAGTCTGACGTCTGGTCCTTCGGTGAGAAACCACAGGCTTCATTCACCACTCGCTCTTCTTAGCTCTTCTTCTTCAAATTAGTAGAAGTACTAGTACGAGCAATTTGTGTAGCAGTTGCACTAGTAATAATAGCAGTAGCAGCAGTAGGTCTATCCTTTAGCAATAGTTGGGTTTGATCAACACAGGATTTTAAGGACATCTACTTCTTATGTGAAGCTGCTATAACTTTATTGTTATTGATTACTTTAATTAAAGTCACGTTTTAACTGTTCCACTGAAAGAACAAATAAATAAAACAAAAATCTTTTCAAGTTTATTTATAATTTTAGGACTTGAAAGTTAAACCTGAACAAATTTGGATGTATTCTGAGTCTGTAATGGTGTCAAAATGCTTCACATTAAAGAGTTTTTTAGATGTTTGAACTGTGTCTGAAAACCCATCCCCTTATATCTTTTTGAAGTCAGAAATCGGGGCGACACTGTACAACAACCAATAAGTATGGCAACTAAAATCTGTCAAATTTTAATTATTTGGACTGATATTGAAATTGCGATATGATTTGTGATACTGAAGGGAATTTTTTCAATCATTATTCTGTCTCAATTCAGGCCGTGTGTTCAGGCAGAAACAGGTTGTGGACCCTGAAGCAGACAATCTCTCAGCAGCACTAGTCTTTATTGATTTATTTGAGACACATAAATTCACAAAACAGAAAAACAGACTGAGAACTGACAAGTATAAAAGGAAACCAGCAAACCAGCAAACCGGGAGCACAAATAGGTATAACATATTAGGGTCAACCAGACAGAACAGGAAGCAAAACCAGACACAGACAACAGACGCAGACAACTTCAAACTAAAACAGGAACCACATGCAGAAACGAGGATGTTGCAAACCGGTGCAAAACATTTTGAGATTGAACTCGCCCCTGACATGGACTATTTCAAAATAAAACAGGAAACGCAGTTTACCAAACAAAAATGTTTTCTTAACACTGTAGAATATTAAATTTTACACACTTTTGACCCTTAAAAAATATTGCACCTCCTGCGATTGGACACTTGGCATCAGTTTGTAGTGCTCTGGGGAGCCTTTTAGCGTCATAGTTCAACACACTGGGGAAAGCTCCGTCATTTATAAAAGCTAATGGTAGGTGTAGGATATTTAACATTAAAGTAAGAATGTGGTTGAGGTGGACAGAGGACCATAAACTGGACTCTCACCCAGGAGTGTTTCTTTCCCGTGTGAAAGTAGTAGTTGTAGTATTGGGTTAATGTAAATGTGTGTGTGCAGGTGTGGTGATGTGGGAGATCTACTCGGAGGGTCGGATTCCATTTGAAAACAGCAGCAACCTCGATGTGGTTAATGACATCACCAGAGGAGTCCGGCTGTACCGGCCGTACCGAGCCTCGCAGCCGCTCTACGCCATCATGTACCGCTGCTGGCATGAGGTAACAAACCACTGATCCATTCATTCATTCATTCATTCATTCATTCATTCAGTGTTTTTGATTCAGCAAGCTAATAGAAACTAAACCTACCTAAGTTTTTCCACTTGGGCCAAAGTTTCTCATCACAAGGTTTACTCACTTGGTGCGTCTGAAGCTTCCAACCACATTTTTGCCTTTATTAGACAGTGAAGAGGCAGAAAGGAAACAAGTGGAGAGAGGCAGAGAGAGAGAAAGAAAGACAGGCAGAGGGAGAGAGAGGTATGACATGCACCAAAGATCCTTAGCTGGAGTAGAGTGCCTAAGTCCCCTCCCCTTCCGCTGGATCACAATGGGACCTTATTTCAGAAAAAAAATATGTACGGTAGTCTACAGCAAGACACAACAAATGTTATGACCTGAATTACACACATTGTCAGTTTAAAAGATATTTCTGCAAGTCAAGAGAGTTGCAGTTTGTTGTAAAACAAAATTAGAAAGACCCAAAAGTCACATAAGTGATGGCACACTTCTTCTCTCAATGGCTGAAGCTAACATTACTAAAGCTTAAGTCAAAGAGCTTCCATGTGTAGATGATGTGATAAATGGACCAGGAGTTGTTGGATTAAATACATCAGGTGAGATATATTTCTGCGTGGGACATAGCTAAATTACCTAGCTTAGTAGCAAGCAAGCAATGAATTTTAGCAAGGATTACAGTGTTAGCACTATGATGATGTATATTGTACCAGACCAAAGATGCAGTTCATTGTGCGGTTTCACACAAAACAAAATGTTACGTTACAGTTTTAATATAAAATGTTATTTTCTTTACTGACAAAATTATCTTTTAAATTGACAAACAGCACATTTGTAATTCAGGGCACAGTTCAAACGGATTAAAAAAATAAGAAGTCTCTTGCCATTGACTACCATATTTTTTCTGAAATAAGGCCCAATTGACCCTTTGCTAAGCCCCGCCCCGAATACGCAGCGCAGTATAGGACTCTCTCTAACTGAGGTCCGACACTTTCATGGCTGCGCTCCATTGACTCTAATGCAAAAGGCATTGTTTTCTAGCTATTTTTGCTGTATTTTTACAAGATATGGTCAAACTCTGTTCCTGGGGCACTTGTAGTAATTACAGTCGCTACTCAGAGAAGTTGAAAGGAGTAGTACGATTTATTCTCTTTCCAAAACCTGAAAGAAATCCAGATAAATGTAGGCTGTGGATTGTTTCTAATGTAATGGTAGTTAGCTAAGGCTAGCTAACTTACTACTGAATGTAACATTATATAACCCTACTGTTCTGCTTTTTAATGGTTGTAAATAATTGAATGAATAGGCCTACCCAGCTGTACAGGACCAGTGTTGATCCTTTATATCGTTGTCTTTTGTCTCAATCGTCGGGGGATGCGGTGGTTCACTTTTACTGTGTGATCGGTAGGCGATAGCTTCTGTCTTTCATTTTTTTCACGTCTGTTTGAGTCAGTTTGACAGCCTGAATAAAACCTTCAAAAGTATAATAAAATGGCAAAACTGGCTGCTTTTTTCTGAGATCGTTTTTTCCAACAAATATGACAATATTTCTCCAGGGAGTGCAGTAATAGACAGTGCCGTGATAAAAGTCCGACAGGTCCAACAGTTTGTCGGACTTAGCAACAGTCACTAGGGGGGCGTCAATTGTGGCGGAAAGTAGGAACTTTGGCTTTCCTTTGAACCATGAACCTTTTGGTCATGTGGCGTGCACTGTAACCATTCAGCCACCAGGGCGCTCCCGGGCCACACTTCATTTCTAAGCAGATCGAGTTGCTCAGTTGACAGGAAGATGATTTAGTTTTTATCATGTGAGTTAAATGAATCATTATATTATAGTTCCACTAATTATTAAAAAAAAATAAAAAGGTTTCACAAAAGGTTTTTGAAGAGGGAAAATGAAGCAACCGTTAATTTCCTTAGCTTTGCTCAGTATAATGAGATCACACAGTTTATCCTGAAGACATAGTTGTTTCATCAACTCCTGTCTCCTGTTGAACCATTTTTTTTTACTCCAGCATATTCAATAAAAGCGAACAGTGTAACACAGCAATATATCCACTTTGGATTCTCTGGCTCTCCTTCCCCTCAGAGGTCAGCACTGGGAAGATGGCTTGCTGTTTGTTGATGGCGTGAATTTGCAGGTCAAACTTTACCAAAGTTGATTTAAAAAATTAGAGTGGATTACTCCCCAGGAGCAAATTCACTAACTGCAGCGACTCCATTCGAATTACTTGGGAAGCACCGCAGTGATGAGAGTTCACCCTGTTAAATTTTTACGCTGACATCATTCCAGTTTACTGTAAATGTTATTTTTGAATGCAGCATGTTCTTGTTAGACTTTATTATTAAGATGAAATTGTTTTTGTCTCCCCTCTTCTTTGTTGATGGTGGTGGTGTCGCAGAGGCCTCAGGGTCGGCCGTCTTTCTCAGAGCTGCTGGAGGAAATCAGAAAACTGGCAGAAAATACGGATTAACACACACACATGGATAATATATTGCTGATTGCTGTTTTTACTGTAATCATGAATGTACAGACTGTATTTTTTATTGTAAATAACTATTTTTTCATTAAAGCAATTTCAGATAACTTTTTCACTTGTAACATTGTGTCTGCGAAATTAATGTTAAACTTTTAAAACTCTTATTCAAAGAGAATAATGTATGTTATAGACATCACAGTATATTCTGTTTGTTAAAGCTAAAGTAAAGGATGAGTACTTTATAAGCCTGTTGGGGAAAAAAACACCACCTATGTGGAGAAACTGATTTATTTCAATCATGTTATGTTAAGTTAATCAGTGTGTTAGAAATAACAGCAGGTGGAGGTAAAGAGCTTTTCCTAGTGAGCTGTGGAGAGTCAGATCCACCCAGTGATGTGTAGCTGGCTCGCTTGTTGGAAAGAAAGTTGTTACCTAAGCAAAACATATTAGATTTTTATTTCTGTAATCACAGCTGCAAAAAGTCCAGTTTGAAACTGTAAGAGAAAATATTAAGGGGAAGCTGCACCCCCACTTATACCTTTAACTTTGTGCTCAACAAGAGTCAGTGTTAAAAGGGCGTTTTGTAAATGTCCTTATGATTGCTTTCTTTTTTAAATTACGCACGCATATAACATATTTTGAGGTCTCCTGATCTTATTCTTCTTCATTGATTTTAATGTTCTGTTTGTGGTTATGAAGGTGTACACAGAAAGAAAAACATTTTGGTAATCCAATTTGACAATTCATGCGCAGAACTAATCGTTAGTAAGAAACAACATCTAACTTATTTTTCTAAAGTTTGGGGCAAAATAATATTACAAAGTGTTACGGTGTTGTCTCTGTAGCTATATGAAAAGTGCAATGAGATACAAGGTCATTTGTTCGTCATATTACAACACGGTTGTAAAATGAAATGCTATTTGTAGTTTTACTACACAGCAGACAATATTGGCCTACAAATTTGATGAAATGGTAACTACATTGGTTATTGTTCTGGGTGTATATGTGTATGTATGTAGTCCTATATAAATAGCCTTAAAGCCTAGCTTTATTTTATATATTACCGTATTTTAATATATATTTAATTATCTGTTAGTAATTTCTGTGTGTGAAGCACAAAGAAGGGAGAACAAACTTTCTTTTCTTATACAACTTTGAGTTGTATTATGATAATTATTTGTATTATGAACTATGAACTATACATTGATGCATATAGCAGTACTGAAGATGAAGATGAATTTGAATTGTATAAATATTATATAAACTATGTAAATAAAATTGAATTAAAGAAAAGCTAATGGTTTGAAAATGCACTTGGTTTATCTGGGGGATTTTCTGCGTGCAACCTATAAATAATTTAGTTATTGTGTCAGTTTGGTGTCTTCCTGGTTCAGAATATATAAATTCATAAATGCCCTCTTTTTATATCATTCAGGCCTAAATAAAGCCTTTTACAGCTTATTAACGCTGGTCTTAAACTCACCTGCGTGTAAAAACAACAAACGCAACGCAACGCAACGCCTACACTTTACAGCGTCACGCTGTGACGTAACGTTCTAGCTCTCTCTGCGTGGAGCGTGGCGGGAGGCGTTACCAGGGCAACGCTGTGGGGCGACTGCACGGAGTCGTCTCCGGTGGCAGCAAACGCTACTCCAGTGTTTACGTTGCTCACGGAGGCGATTTAAGCCATAAAGGAGTTCCCCTGTAAGGTTAGTGAGTAAACTATAGAGCACGTTTCAGCGGACATTGTTGTTGTTGTTGTTGTTCTGTTGTAACTTACCTCTCTAATATTTAACCGTCTTTTTATCTTTATCATAGAGGCTTACAACGTGCCTCTAATAGCCTATTATGTAAGTTAAGTGATGGAGGAAGGATGCAAGTAGCCTACTCTAGTAAAAGTAGTTAATATACTTCTAATAATAGCACTGTAGAAAAGCAAGTACAATTAGCTAATAAACTTATAATAGAAACACTGTAGAAATAGCCTACAAGTTGCCTACCACACTGAACATGTTACTTAAGTAAAAGTATGTAAGTAGCCTAAAATATAACAAAATGATTTTTAAAATATAGTGCAGAAAAATGAAAGTGTTAATAGGCCTGATGAGATTATTATTGTTCATGAAATAATGTAAAATCTGAATTTCTTTTTAGCTGGTTGGCCTTATTTTGAACTATCAGACTATAACCAATGTTTATTTTCATCATGGATTAATCTGCTGATTATTTTCTCCAAACCTCAGCATTGTTAACAATACCAACATTAAAGTTATTAAAAGCAAATCATCACATCTGCGAAACCTGAACCATGAAATGTTTTTACATGAAAAATGACAAATGGTTATCAAAATACTTGCTAATCAATTTTCTGCCGATCGACTAGTTGATTAATTGTTTCAGTTGTACTGGTTTAAACTGTTATGTAGTTAAATTTATAGCAAAACATAGAAGCTTTTCAAATGGTTTGTGCACATGGAAGTGTTAAAAAAACAACAACAATGAACTCATTGGCCAGCTACAACAGTAATGTATTTGTAAATAACGATCTTACTTAAATTATGGACCTGAATATATCCTCCACAGTAGAATTTCGATACATTATAAATAATTATATTATACATTTATCTCTTGCGTTCTTCTTCTCTTACTCACTGTAATATCGTGTTTATTTCAAATAATTTTTTTCTAGTTCTTTATTTTTCTGCTTTCTTTCTAAAATGCTTCATCATTTTATTTAGGCTATAGCTAATTGTTTTTTGTTACTTTTACTTCTCTTTGTTCTTTCTTGTTGTCTTTGTTTTAATATTTATTCATTTTTACTTTCTAAAGGCTGTGTTTGCTTGGGTGATGGTTAAATCAGAGCTACTGTACAATTTAAAGTAGATACTCACATATTAGCGTCAATAAAAGATTAGTAAAATGTAATTTTGAGTGACATTGTGATGTTATAGCCTACATTTCTCTCTCTCCGGTTAGTAGAGTCTGATGGAGCGCTACGAGTCTCTGGGTTTGGTCGGGGAGGGCAGTTATGGCACCGTGCTGAAGTGCCGTCACCGAGACTCCGGCCGCCTTGTTGCCATCAAGAAGTTCATGGACTCGGACAATGACAAGACGGTGAAGAAGATCGCCCTGAGGGAGATCAAGCTGCTGAGGGTACCTGTCAATCAATCCATCAACCAATGAATCCAATGAGTCTCTGAGCATCGAGCTGTCAATATGAGTGAAACATGAGTGAAGCAAAACACAAAAGAAGCCTGTCAATCACAGTGACAAACAAACCCCCAATGACAAGAGTCATATTCTTACAATCACTTGACATCTTGACAGGAGAGGAAACATTGGAGGAAGACAAATTAACAGCAGAGACAAAAATATATCAACAAATATTAGCTATTGCAAGAAGGTGAATGTTTTAGTGAGTGTCAGCATCTTGAAAAAGGAGAGTAAAAAGCTGATTTAATATCAAGAAAATGGCCTTCATTTTCACTAGAGATGGACGGATGATGCAGTATTACAGATTTAATAATAATACGCAGACTTCATGGACTTTTGTTGCATTATTGTTCAAATCAAATAAAAAAAGCCCCAAAGCTTCATAAGGTTTCATCCTCCTTATCACTAGGGTGCCTTCAAGGTGTAGGCCAATTGGCGCTATGTAAACACTGTCTCCTATTTTCAACCAACCATCCAACTATTTTCATCCTGTTTACGTCCACCTTCAAATTCACACACATTTCTTGTGCTGTCATCTTTCCAACCATAAAGCAACTGCGTCATGACAACCTGGTGAACCTTCTTGAAGTGTGGAAGCGCCGCCGCCGCTGGCATCTGGTGTTTGAGTTTGTTGAGCGAACGCTTCTGGACGATTTGGAGCAAAACCCGAACGGATTGGACCTGAATACCAGCCGGCAGTATCTGTACCAGATCCTGAGGGCTGCTGCCTTCTGCCACCAGCAAAATGTAAGAACACCTGTGTGCGGTCTGTATTGGTTTAACCTAAAAGGGCCTACGAACCTAAGTGTACAACACAAAAGTTACTGGCTTGAACAAGGACTTAAAAGTGGTGTGTAAAAATTGCCACAGGTCCTTTTCTGGTGTTAAAATAAACATATGATAGAGTTTCACACAGGCCTGAAATTGCGACCTAAACCCGGCCTATACCCGTCTTTTAGACCTGAGTCGGCTGAGTCCAGCTAGTGCCACAATTTAAAGGAAGAGTCTGACCCGAGACCTGAAAGTGTATTTTTACTTTATGTCATCATTAGCTGAGCTGGTCAATTCTACATGTTGGCAAAACAATCGCATCCCCTTTTTTCTACTAAGCATTGCATGTCTTTGACATCTATTTGCAAAACAGGAAACATGGACAAAGGCTATTGGCACACTTGAAAAGAGAAAGAGACATCCCATTCAATTTTAAATAAGCAAACCCACACCAAGCCCAACATTTTATGCAACAAAACAGCCCAAAACCAACCCGAGACTGCTTTTTTCAGGACCCGTCTGGCTCAGGGCAGGCAGCAACAGGCCAGATATTTGAAAAATAAGTTGTTTTACATTCCCAGGACCTTCTAGTCATCCACTGTGAATAGCTTGAAAGGACATAAACATGAACGCCCCCTTTTCTATTTTACCATAAAGTTGTGCTGGAACTAGCTTCTACAACCTACATTATCTAGTGGGTTATCGGACAGTGACAGTTAGCTAGGCAGATGCTATGGTTATCTCGCCAGCACACGCTTAATCAGAGGGATTACTGGTGAAATGATCAGTCAGAAAGGAATGAACCACATCTTAGAGCAAGGATTACAACATTTTCCTGCGTTTTTGTTCCTTTTTTCCTTCGTAGATCATCCACCGTGACATCAAACCGGAGAACATACTTATTTCTCAGGGGGGCGTGGTTAAGCTGTGTGACTTTGGCTTTGCCCGGACCATGACATCGCCCGCTGAGGGGGGGGTCTACACTGACTATGTGGCCACTCGCTGGTACAGAGCCCCTGAACTGCTGGTGGGAGACACCAAGTATAGCAAGTAGGTGTTAGTGTACACCTGAGGATGTTAGCTCTAGTTTTTCTGTTGATACAAATGTTAACAAGTGTGTGTTTGTTTGTGTGTGTGTGTGTGTGTGTGTGTGTGTGTGTGTGTGTGTGTGTGTGTGTAGACCAGTAGATGTGTGGGCTGTTGGTTGTCTGTTAATAGAGATGTTAACAGGTCAGCCTCTGTTTCCCGGAGACTCCGACCTTGACCAGATATACCACATCGTCAGGTGCTTCGGTAAGCACATATGTTAAATAAAAATATGCTAAATCTTTTAACTCTCTCAACAGTTGTACTGTTTTAAGTTCTTCTTATTTCTGTTACAGGCAACCTAACAGCTCATCACCAGGAGTTGTTCTACAGGAATCCCGTCTTTTCTGGAGTCAGACTGCCAGAATATTTTGGCAGAGTCCGACTGGAGCAGCGCTTCCCTACAATCACACCCACAGCACTGGACCTGGCACAGGTACAATTGAGTTTGTTTAATTCTCTTAAATGTCACAATACTATATATACAATACATTTTACATGATCAAATAGGTTACATAAACTTGGCTTTAGCTTTTGTCCAGTGCCTTCCCCTCCATAGCAACAAAAGTTAGAAAATTAAATGCAGGGGTGCTTTTAAAGCCTTAAGTTTGCCATCTTTGAGTAGCCACAGGCAGAAAATCTAAATTTGGACAACAAAGAGGAGCCTGTGTGGAGCTGAAATTAGATGTTTTAGTTATCTTTACTAGGACAATAGGACAGTAGCATACCTTGAACAGTTGATGAGCGTCATCCGAAGAAGCCTCTAGTGTGTCGGTTTACATAGAAAACAATGGGTGCAGGTGTTATGGTGTGCATCATGTGGCACTGCTGTGTTTTTCCTGTTGGTCTCTTTATACCTATACAGTGATTCTTAAAATGTGTGTTCCATTTGAACTGACTTGTGGTAGGTATATCAGAATCAGTGATACCTTTCTGTTGTTTCTTTCAGAGCTGTCTCCAGATGGATCCAGAAAGACGAGCTCAGTGTTCAGAACTGCTAGAACATCCTCTGTTCACGCAAGACTCTTTCCACATTAGGTATGTCTGCATGTTGTATCTAAGAACTTGTTGGTTTTCTCATGGCATTTTAGATACATCACCTTGTCTTCTAGTTGTACTGGTTGTTGTATGCTGGTGCACCTTGAAATATATGTTTGCCAAACTTTGCTTATGGTAACCATTATTGAGCAGTAGGGATGCTAGGAAACAAACCATCAACCTTTTAGCCTCAGAAATCAGGTGACAGACTTGTTTCATCAATCTCTGTATCCATACAGGGTTTTGGACGAGCTGAATGCCAAAATCCAAAAGGACCACAGAGAAAACTCTACCCTTCCTAAAATAGCAAAAAACCCAAGACGAGAAAAGGATGAAGGGGATGAGAAGAACTGGAGAGGCAAATACAAGAAACAATCTGAAGACATAGATGTGAAAGTCAGCAAAGAAAAGGTGCGGAAGGGAGAAGAGAAGGTGGAGAAAACAAAAGGAAAGCAATCTTCAAAGCCATCTAAAACCATTAGAAATACCTCAGAACCTTTCATGTCCACCAAACAATCCAAAACATTAGGCGTGAAGATCATCGAAAATGCAGCAAAAACGACTGTGGCCATGAAAAGTAAACTGGGGAAACCCACTGGTGCAGAGCTGAGAAAGGAAGCTGATATTTCGAGACCAACTAAGATTGTAGCTTCTGATTCATCAGAAGGAGCAGATCAGAAGGAAAATTACACAGTGGTAGCAAAACCTAAACATGAGAAAGCTGCTTCTCCAGAGCCAAGGCAAGACAATTTGAAAGCTACAAAGAATACAACCACGGACACAGTGCAAAGAGGGACCTCTGAAAGTTCAAAAGTCTTACCCTCAGATCCCAGTCCATCTAAGACTACCTCAAACTGTGGCTCAAAAATGACCACAAGCAACACATCTTTGTCCACCAGCCCTTCAAAGACTCTTATTTCGGAGTTTTTAACGCGGTCCTCCACAGTTTTTATTGAAGCCAGTCCTGACCACAGCCCTACAACGCTACCTAAAGGAACATTAAATTCAAAGTTATCCAAAACTGACTCATCTTCAGATACTACTACTACCACAAATCACCCCACATTTGTACCCAACAAAGCTTTGAAGGTCCTTTCAACAGACAGGGAACTTAAAGAATTATTGATTGCAACCAAAAATCAGCAGGATAGTTGCAGTAATACTTCAAACAAGGACATCAGTGATGATTATGAGTCCATGAAGATGAGCCAAGCAACCAAAACAGCTGAAAACCACATTGAGATATCTAATGGTTCAAGTCGATATTACAAGGGGGATCCTGACTCTTCCGAGCCGTCCAGAGTCCATCAGCAGAGCACTTCCAAATCCAAGATCACAACTGAATCCAGAACATCTTTAACCTCCATACCAAATGAAATCCCTATTACCAACACGTCACTATGGACCACTATACCCAAAACACTGAACGTCTCAGACAAAGAGAACAGAGAGGATTTAGCATTTTCTGTGTCCATCAGTGCAACAACCAAGTCTTTTGTAAATCAAATCTCCAAGGTTTCTAGAAACTCAACTACTGAGCAGAAGAACGACAGCAGTGAAGGTGAACCAAACACAACATCCTTAAAACTCCTTCGCTCCAAATCTTTCATCGGAGAACCTAACACAAAGCTTGGTTCGTTAAACAACCACACAAAGTCCACCGCAACAATGGCCCTGAAGAGTACAGAAGCAGGGAAGAAAAGAGACGATTCAGTAAGGAATGACACAACAAATATAAACACAATCTCAGATTCTACTTCCTTTACCTCTACAGTGACTACGGACCAAAGAGCTTTGACAAGAAGCTCCGTCTTTCACAACGTGGACAGCGCAGATGTTGATACATTTGATTTCAGTGTATCCCATTCCTCTCCAGTACCTCCTGCTCCTCTTCCTCCATCCTCCACACCCCTCATCCCCTCCTTTTCTTTCATCAGTACCAACAGCCCAGTCTCCAGTGATCGCCTTACCCTGGGGGCGGGTTTCCATCCTGGGACCAACAGCTTTAGGTACTTATTAAGTTCTCACAGTGCAGTGCAATAGAGTACCTGAGATTCATTTAAGCCTAAGTGCAACCAAAGCCAAAAAGCTAACAACAGTTTTGATGTATAAATCAATACTAATTCACCACTTTGCCCTTGATGTGAGAAGACCAGAGAACAAGTCTAAAACACTTGCCACAATGTTTGCCAAATGGCTATATCCTCTGCTTGATAATCAGACGGACTTGGCATTTTGTTTGCTTTATTCAGTCTGACAGCATGTTCAGGTTATCCGATTTTGTTTGTTTGACTGGCTGAGGTAGAAGTTACAAAGAGCAGTTTCATTCTGAAAGCTGTGCTGATCTCATTCATCTTTGTCACTATTTTGTGGCCATTTTGCTGTTGCTATTTTGCATAGGTGTAGCTAAGTAGCTAGCTAGTAGCTTGGACAGTTGTCTTCCCATTGGGGAAACCGCTGCCAATGATTATAACACAGGACCTTTTTGATTTGCTTAAGAAAACTTAGATATGTTCAGTGATTCAGAGGTCTTGAGCCAGGCTGTTAATTCTCAAAGAACAGCAGCTGTTAAAACTTCTCCTTTACATAGTTTACTTTTTAGATTTTCCATGATTAACCATCAAACAAACAGACAGATCAGCTAGCTAAGGCTAGCTAGTATAATTTGTAAACTCCTCCTGGTGTGCATCGCAATTCTCTATTGGCATTTTAACATGGGCAATAATGCTAACAGTAACTATTTGGTAAGTTTCAATATTTAAGGGCCAAACCAGTACGTAGATAAACATATTCCTAAACTCTTTCTAAATTTGTTTTGTCTGTAAGGTTCCTCTTGAGGTTTAGAGCCAAACTACAAATTCATTGTGTAATTTGAAATGTGGTTAAATGTGTTTCACAGGTGTGTAGAGAAGCCAAGGCATCATGGTGGCATTTATAGTCGAATGACCCAGAAATCTCTGTCCAGTCACATCACAGGATCACTCACTGCACAGGTAACACAGTGTTTGCCGGTGTTTCACTTGTTTACAACCGAATCTCAATGTTCTCTTCCAAAGTTACGGTCTCTCCTTTCAGGTGCCTGAGAAAAGTCTGATTTGCGAGCGCTCCTTCCTGTCTGACCGCTTTGGTAACAACATTACAGCGACAAGGAAGAAGTCAGACATCCATTTCCCAGATTTAAGAAGCTCGACGCTGCCAGAGCTCAGAGGAAGAGAAAGTACGCACACCACACTATACACACACAACTACCAAAGTACCTGCATTTCAGCAAATGAAAAGAAAACGCATTAACACGCCATTAAGGTGGCAGGCTCTGTCTGGGCCAATCAAAAGCCAGTCTCATGGCTTATGTCTTACGTTAACTTTAGCTGTGCCCTTTTTGGGGGTTTAAAATGAAAAGAAAATCAGTGTTACAATTCCTCATAGTCTAGGTTTCTGTAAGATTTGACAAATGTTGTCTGACACTTCAAAAAACAAATAATGAAAATATTTTATTGCTCAATGCATTTTGCATAAAATTAACCCAATAACCTTTCATGACTTCAGGGTCTCTGAAGCAATGGCAAGCATAGTTTTTTTATATAGTTCATGTGCCCAACATCAGTGGCATTTCAGATATCATAAACCGGACTATTTGTTGTAGTTTATTCATACAAATCAAGAACTGTTAAACTGTTAGAACAAATAAAGCGATAATTCATCCGATGTTTTCTCAGGCAAACACAACAAAGGTGCTTCGAAGGATCAGAGGAAAGACAAACACCCAGATTTCTCCAATCCAACGTCAGAATCAGCCGAGTAGGACAGTGCTGATGCATAAACACTGTAGGAAAAAATTATTCCCCTTTTCTTTAATATTATGGAATTTTAACATGTTGATCTCATTTCTACTTTCAACATGAGACAAGTCTGACTTGAATGCTGTCAGATTTAACGTAAAGCCTTCAGCAGTCAGTGTCATCTCTGTATTTTCAATGTTCACTCATGCCAACTGTTGAATAAAGTTATTTCCTGTAGTAGAATTTGCTCGTTAAATTATGAAACTGATCATCACAGTGGTCATTAATCAAAGCTTTGAGGGCAGAATAAGTTTTAAAATCCGTCAGAAGTGGGTGAATATATCTAACTACATTTACTCAAGTACAAATCTGAGGTACATGTACTTCACTAAATTGATTTTGTAGTTATAGTTACTTAGTTCTTAATATTATTGCACACAAAACACACAAGGAGCTTCTAAAAAATGTTGTATATCAAACTATTTAATTATTAACAGTATGTACAAGTGCAGCTGAACCCATTTGTTGATTAACTGATTAGTCAATTGACTAAAAGTAAATTGGCAACTATTATGCTGTAAAAACATTTCATGTTTCCAGCTTCTGAAATGCGAGGATTTTCTGCTTTAAATGATTTTTAATTCATTTTGAGGTAAGGACTGCTGGTTGGACAAAACAAACATTTAATCGTGATGGCATTTATCACTAGTTTTAACAAAACAATCAATTAATTAATAGAGAAAAAGATTAATCCATAATGAACATAAATAAAAAATACACCTCTGTCCTGATGACATTTCATCAGCTTTATCACTGAAGCCAGCAATGTTACTGTATTTCATGTCTGAAAATAACAACACAACACAATAACAATAAACCTCATGTTAGCATTAGCGGTGGCTACATGTTGCTAATACATAGAACCACATATTCTATTTACACCTGGTCATTTTTCAAATGTTAAACCAAATAATTATGTAAATGCAGGAATAGGTCTTGAGTCAAAAAAGAGACGATGTATTAAAATCTTATAAACGAGTTAACCAAAAGGTCGTCAGGGTTCTTTTTATTATTTTACACCTTTTGAAGCAGCAAACAGGTCATTCATATGTGAATACTTTTTTAAATACTTGTTAAACAAACAGCACATGTTTTACGTGGTCATTATATAAATAAAGAACCTTTTTTTAAATTAAGATTGGTTGTGTTTGTGTTTATGGCAGCAGCTAAGCTAGTAGATATGAACTATCTTTTTGATATTAGCAACAACATACAAAATATTTACTGATATTACAACAGTGATGATGGTATCTACATTTAGCCTCTCATGCAGAACTACAGGCAACTAAATTTCATAATCTTGGCATTTGTGATGTTTTTTGAAGAAAACACCCTTTTAGAGAGGACATTTACGCATAATTAGACTAAAATGTATGTTTATCTGTGAAGAAACTGTCCACAAAACTGTCCACTTTCTTCCATCTGTGAGCGTAGTTTATGAACTAAACTGTAAACATGCCAAAAAGAAGATTTAAAATTGCATGGGATGATTTTAAGACTCGTCACTCGAGTCATCTGAAGAAAACAAACCTATTTTCCACCTGTTCGAGTACGTCCTTCTCACACTTTTGAACATCGTTGGAGCTGACTCGTCACTATCTGATGAACTGTAACCTCTGTTATTGGTCAGGAGGTAGTGGAGGAAGCTGACAGCAGAGTTAGAGTGGCTGTTAGTGATTGGTCCTGCCGGAGCTGGCTGTGGCTTGATTGGTGCTACAGTGTTTGGCTTCTTCGTTGTGGCCACCACCTGCTGGAAAATTATAGACAAGAGGTTAAAGTTTATCTGTGTGGCACATTTCAAGCACAGAGTTAATGCAAATCCAACAAGTCCTACAACCTTAACGTATCGTTGGTTTTCTGGTGAGGACAGTCTCTTCAGACAAAGACTACTACCTCCAAAACTGATTATGTTCCCATCAGCCTCAGCTGTATTTTCTGTTTAGTGCTAATTAGCAAATGTTAGCATGCTAATACGACAAACTAACACTTTGAATTTTGTAAACATTAAACCTGCTAAATTTGGTAGCAGTATCATTCTGAGCATGTTAGTATGCTGATGTTAGCATTTGGCTCCAAGTACAGCCTCACAGAGCCACTCTGGATGTAGACTCTTAGGCTTTGTCTCAATTTGTGCACTTCCATATTTACTATTTTCAGCACATGAGTAGCGTTCAAACTGACAAGTATGGCAAAATACAGTGCACTATGAGTGCTTAAATGGTTCCACTGGTGACAAATTTACATGTACTTGTTTTTGTAAGTGCATGTTATACGTTTAAGTACATCATCCTGGACACAAACAAAAATCACATACTAATACCGAGCACATAACCTTTTCAGAAGCTAGCTGGTTAGCATTGAGGAGCTTTGGGTTGTTGGTGACTTTGAAGGACTTTTTAAGGTTTTCATTAAAAACTAATTTGCTCTTTTATAACAAAACAAATGAGCATTTTTCATTAATCCAAAACTACATTTAAAAGCGACTCGGAGTCCCTTCATGATGAAATTACCTTCCTGGTGATGGGTGCGGTGGTGGTTGTGGTTGTTGTAGCTGCGGCAGTGGTGGTGGTGTCGGTGACAGAGAAAATCATGCAGGTGTCCACAGCAGAACCATCAACCTCTGGAAGATCAAAATCTGGTAGAGAGGAGAGAGACAGAGCTGATGGAGGGAAATCAGAAGCCTGCTAATTAATTTTCTGCACTTAAAAATGACCAACAACAGCTGTTAGTATCACTATATTTCACAGGTCTGTTCAAAGTCCTGTGTTAACAATAGAAATCATTATCTTCGGTGTTAAGAGCAGGGATTGTATTACCAAAATTACCGTAATGTAATTTAATACAGTTTCCTACAAATCAAATGAAAGAGGTGGCCGAGGTTACAACACTCAAATAGAAGCCAGTCGCACCAGGTCCTTACCAGTAACATAATGTAAGTGGTTGCTAAGTAGATATTTCCACATCACTAAACTAAAATGCGTTGCACCAGGTAAACAAGTTAGGTTTTTACTAACATTGATTAATTGCGGAGCCTGACCGATTTATCGGCCGATATTAGCTAATTACATTTAATCGGCATCAGCTGTTTATAACAGCAGATATATTAAAAAAGCAACATACAGTCAGATCCTTCACTTATGTCATGGGTATTGCATAGTGATACTGGGCCTGTAAATTGAGCACAAACAAAGCTGCTTGGAGCAGCAGGTGGCGCACTTGAAGCAGTGGAAGAGAGAGTGTAAAAAAACAGCGGTACATTCAAACATGCTGGACTCATGATGGGACTCTAGCTGTGAAGATGACAAACAGCCACAGAGGGAAAGGTCTGAGGGACTGTGAGACAAGTTATATGACCAGGCGAGGGGAAGACCTGTGTTAACATCTGTGAGTGGTTTCAATGTTGGATAAATCTACGAGATTTGAAAGGAATGAAAACCGATGCTGAGGTTTCTCTGTTTCTGCTGGACAGGTGCGTAAAGTTAGCTTTGCTGTTCCTCATAAACGACAGGTTCACTGTTGCTGTCTTGTCTGTCTGTTTGTGATGATCCCAGCTGGGTAGCTTTGTTAGCTTTGCCTAAGCGGTCAGTGTGTGTGCGGTAGAGGAGGAATAAACGGAGCCCCGGTGAATAGAGAGAAACGGGTCAGCACCTTGTTCAGCAGTAAATGTACAGTAGAAGTTACAGAGGCTGGTGAATAAAGACTGCAGCTTCTCAGGACTAAAGCTCCTGTGTGTTGCTGCCAACTGTTGAACAAAGTGAAGGAGGTCAGCCCCAAAGTTAGCACTGACTTCAGCTCTGGAGATAAACAGTCGCTCCTTTGCTTCCCAACTCTTATCAGTCACTGTATGTTTGTATTTTCCAATAACGTTAACTCTCTAGTTTTTTTACTCTGTTGTGTTTTGGATGCAGCGTTTGTGTGCTTACACATATTGTTCGTTTTGATGATAATTGTAACTATTTCCTAAGTTCCTCTCGATTTTCCTACTGATAAATAAACTAGTCTCCATATCTTAGATTTAGGCTTAGAAAAGTAGTTTGCTTCCATACATATTTAAATAATGACAGGCTTGTTGTCACACCATCCACAGTGCTGCTAAAACATGCCCTCTTATTGAGACAGCTGGATTCTGCATTCTGAGTAGGACTGGTTACCATGGCAGTGCGCGTTCATGAGTTTGTTTATCAACAAACTCTCTGCAGGATCGCATTAGTATCCCTTTAAATAATTATAATCACTTCTCATGAATAAATATTCTTTACAATCACGTAACGTTACAGCAGCTAACGCTGCCCGTTGCTAAATTAGCCACAAAGCTAATGCTGTGTTTACCAGTGGAGGAGCGCTAACGGTAATGAGCCGTTAAACTATAGTTTCTGACTTATTCTAAATATATCTGCCAGCTGCAGTTATAGTCTGCTTGTCTGAAATGATTAAACCAGAGCGCTCATGTAAAGTGAGCTGAACAAGAAAACACGGCTTCCTGTAGCTCAGGTTCTTTTTGTAGGTGTGAAACGCTGTAGTCAGAGCGTCATAACGTTAGTAAAATTAAATCTCAAAGCTGCAGGTCCTCCTTGTAGACAGTCATGTAGTATTAGAGGCATTAAACAGCAGGTCACTGGTGTTTAAGAAATGGTTTCTCTTTGTAAGCTTTGGTTAGAATTAAAGTGGTTTGGTAAAGGGATAAACTTGATGTGAATATGTTACATTGAAATTATGGCAGATTATGTGTAAAGTGAAATACACATGCTTATTTTATCTCACTCTCTGTTTACAGACGGCTGAAAAAGTTGCACCTTCCAGCAGAGAATATTTATTGATGTGCAATTGTTTACATATTGACTTTTTGGGACAGTAATCTATTTTATTAACATAATAAGTTTTATAGCCCACATACATACCAGCTTTTGGCCTATATATAATATCGGCCTGTCCTACGTATACAGTAAAGGGGGTTTACTGAGGTTTTCATTCTCAGAATCGAAATATCGGCTCATAAATTGGCTCCTTTTCACTATAATATCGGCATCGGCCCCCACAAACCCATATTGGTCGGGCTCTACCCAGAAGTAACTGCCAGGTGTAGCTGTAGCTAACACAGCCAACTGACCAAGCTAATGTTAGCTTGGTAACATATGACCCATTTAGAGTAAAAAGTAAAGCATAAAAGAAAAAATGCAGTTTAATAATGATGTCAACTAGGAAGATTTTAAATTACATTTCACAAAAAAAACAAAGCTGAACCTCAGATTAGAAAATGTTATGCCAACATCATTTTGCATTTTTCATCATCATTGCAAAAGCTCAACAAAGACTTTACTTCCTCAGGCAGTTTAAAAAATACCGGATCAAAGAAAATCATCTCCGATCCCTCACATCCTGCTCACCACCTCTTCCAGCTCCTTCCCTCAGCGAGGCGCTACAGGTCACTCTCCACCAAGACTAAACGCTTCACAAACAGCTTTTTTCCCCATAGCCATCACGACTCTGAACTCCTCTCTTTAGTTTAGTTGCCTTCTCATACACTACGCATTTACCAGTTACCCACTGGATTTTTTATCGTTACATGTTGTGAAGTGTATTGTCTATTTGTTGTTTGTAATGTATACACATGATGCAGAGCTTAAACATACTGTACCGAAAACCAATTCCACCAGTATTGTCATTTAGCTAATAAAACATCAACAACATAATCTAATTTAAAAAAAGTTGAATTGGATTGAAACACCACGCCCTTATGTTGTTGTCTTAAAACACCTAACCAATCAACCATAACATTTTTGATGACAACAAACATCAGTAAAGTAAAAATATCACATGCTTTGTGCTAACAGCTCCTCAAATGTGAGGAATTTTATCCAGATAATTTATGATTTGGCATTTGTTGTTGATACTTTATAGATGAAGCAATTAATGTTGATGGATTCATCATCTTACAGATGAAGATCTAAATAAGTTGTCCCTCTCTGTTTCCTCAACAGTAAACGTTTTACTTATCTGTAACAAGGTCAGCGGGTGCGTGTTTGTGTACATAAGGTGTCTGTGCTGCTATCTGATCTGTCAGTCTGTGTTGCATATTTCATGATGACAGGTCAAAGGTGTGTTTTTCTTTTGTCTTTTGTTTGTAGCAAAGCTACCATGAACACAACATGCTAAAAAGTAACCACACTGGCTCAGTTATGAATATAACAACTATATTTTTTAAACTTGCACTACAGAATAACAATGGGTTGTGATTTGGTAAAGATCTCTCCAGATTAAGATGAGTGTATATAATTTACTCACCGTGAGTGAAGTCGACGCTCTGACCTCTGAAGAGGAAGAGAAGGAAGCAGACAGACAGAGCTGTCAACCTGCAGGACATGATTACAAATGGAGAGAAGCAGGAAAGTAATAAAAAATAAAAGAACTAGAGAAGATCAAGGCAAGGAGACAGAGTAACAAGAGAAAGATGAAAGAAGCATTGAAGGACAGACTGAGGACTGACTGAAGAAGGTATGAGATGAGGAAGGTGATGGAGGATTAAAAAAGGGGAAGGAGTGGGAAGATGGATGCCGTCTAGACTGTAAAGTTTTGTCTGAGCAGATCTGACAAGGTTTGTGGTTCTGAGTTGCAACAGAGTTAATGCTCACTGCTTTGTTAAACTTTATTCATTAAGGGAAGGTTTACGTAGCAACATCAACCTCAGCGACGCCCTGCTTCACATTAACACAGCTGTTGTGTTCACTTGTGTGCTGTTTTACTGCAATTACACTTTCCACCTTTCTCGTAACTGTCTCAAGTTGTTTACGTTTATATTGGTTAAAGATTTACCACAATTCCTTCTTGACTTCATACGGAGACAGATCATCTGATAAAATGGCAACTGTCTTAGCCAGCCTCACCATCAAAAACAGACATATAGATTGATTATTATGACCAGTTTATTTATGACAGTGCTAACTACTAATTTAATTAACTTATTTTAATCCAAACCAAAATCTTTTTCTAAACCCAACCAAGTACTTTTGGTGGCTAAACCTTACCAAACTATGATTGTTTCACATGTTGAATGTCATATGACTTAGGTCATGTGTCCTTTTCCTAAGGACATATATGATGTTTTGGGGCACTTGACAATCATATTCAGTCTATATATAAGGACGTGTTGGTCTTAGCAGAATTTATTAGGTGTAGCTAGCTAGCTAATTACACTAATGTGCATTTGCTCTATGAGATTGTTGTCTCCAGCTGACTTTTAAAATAATAATCTTGTTAAAGGTGAACTTGAAGGCCACATATGATGCTGAGGCTAAAGCCAACATCGGCCCAGGTAAAAGTTTTCATCTTCACCAGCTGATGATACATGTAGAAGACATGGAAATAAAAAAAACACCTTTTTTCTGTTGGATCAGTGTGTTTGTCTGATGGAGTTTTTGAGTTTGACATGTCTCGTTGGGTTTGTTGAATTTAAAATGGCTGGTTTCTGGACCCAGTAACTCGAATCATGCCTGATTGAGTTGTGGGTAAAATAGGTCACCTTTAACACAATGCTGTCAATCTCCGAGACCAACCTTCAAATAAGGTATTAGCAAGCATGTGAGGAGCCTAGCTAAGACATTTTATGCAAAATAACATAATACAATTCAGCTTACAAAACGTTATGCGAAAAACTTAATTAGTATGATTGGACTGTAGCTGTTCATGAGAGGGAGTTAGTTGGGCAGCAAAACTGGAAAAGTTGCGCAACATCAATATCAAACCAACTTAACATAATTTTTTGTCCAGAGATATATAGTGTCAATCTGAAAGCCCCTAACAAAACCACAAATGTTAGTTTTCGTTAACAACTAATTTCAGATCTGTCGGCGCTCCTTAATGTTTTGTCATGAAACTCTTGATATCAGTGCTTGACTTGTTGTTGCATAACCACTGTACCTTAATTAACTTGAGTCAGTGAGCTGTTTGGAGTTGAAATAAAGCCACAGAGCCTGACAGGTTTGACTTTGTGCTTTAAATGCTTTTCACACCTTGACATCAGATGTTATTGAGAAAGACAAAGAGACTCCGTCACTTCTTCCACCTGGAGTTCCCCTGCCAGGTTTTTTTAATCCTGTTACAAGTTCCAGCCAAGAAGATTAGCGAAGCATTAAACCTCTTCAGCTTCATTTGATCTGTGGAAAGAGGATTTCCAAAATACGTCATGTTTATAATGTATGATGCATCACCATAATGTTGTGGTTCAGTTTGTCTAGGACCCAGTCTGGACTGCCAACATTGTGAAAGCAAATGATCAATGTTTGACAGCCTCAAACCTCAATTCTCTGTCTTTCCCTAAGTAATCTGCTTTTCAGCCATTTTATTCATTTAGTCTTGCTTCTGCCTTCATGGGGAAACTGTCAGTATTAGATTTTTGTGAACATTCGGGAGGTGAACTTGCTTTGTTGTGTTTATGAAACAGTTACTCATTCACTTCACACACCAGAATTTCCAGACACCAGGTGTGAGTCTCTACCTGTATTACTAATGTTAAGACAAATACATACATATGCATGCTGGGACTGTTTATATCCACAGTTGCTATGGAAGCGAGTGTCTGCTTACATACACACACCTACTGTGCAGTCAACCGTAGCGCTCTAATCTTTCCAGGAGTTTCCAGGAGAATATCTCTACATCTACTGGCTGGGTTGCTATGAAATTTGGTTGAGACATTCATGGACCCAGGAAAATGAATCCTACCCTCTCTTTGGTGATCCCCTAACGTTTCCCCTATAGCGGCACTGTGAGGTTTACATTTTATTATTTTCAATGAAATCAACTACTGGACACATTACCATGATATTTGGTCCAGACATTCAGAATGATTTGTAAGAATTTTGATTATCCGGTGACTTTTCATCTAGCGCCAAAACTTTGCTTTATGACCAAATACATGCTAAACAAATGAGTTTTCTCGGTAGGAGTATGAATTAGCAAGAAAACATGCTAAGATGGTAAATTGGTGAACATACCTGCTAAACGTCAGCATGGTCACCATGGTTATGTTAGCATGACTGCAATAGCATTTAGCTCAAGGCACCGCTTTGCTCTGAACCATAAATAAAAGCAAATATACCTTACGTTGCCTTTTAGTTTATGGTTCACTGTTTACACTGCGTGCTTTCATGGGAGTTGCCATCCAAGTCGTTCAGCTACTACTCATGAGGTTGAGGTTGGCTACATATTTTTTTCAAGTAGGAACACTAACTTCAAATGTGTGGTCTTTATTGGCAGATGGAGTTTGCACAGCGGTATTCAGTTTTCAGGAACTTCCGTCACTCGATAACTGATGTATGGAAAACTCCCTCTGCTTATGAAGACCGTGGACGAGGTTGGAGGCTCTGGAAAAAGCTCCTAAATGGAAATATTTAAACTTATTTGTCAAAAAACTATTTCCTGGTCAAGATTGAACTTTCACGGTCAGAAATGTTCTGTGTTGAAAGGTGCATTGGTTAAAATGTCAAATGTGATACTTTTAATGACTTAAATGCTGACATCAGCTCATGAGCAGAAGTGATAATATTTATAAAACCGTCTGAAATTTAAAATAAAAACAACTGACGTTCAAGCAAATTTAGTTTTTTATTTTATAAAACTTCATAAATATATAATTATTGTATTTGTGTGAAAAAATGACTTCTTTGGCTCCGAACATGAAAAGTGCCAAAATCACAATATAGTTCATTATTGGTTAACACTTAAGTACTGTAGTGTTAGTTGGGAGTGCCATAACATAAACAACAAATACATTTATTTACAAACATCATCAGTATCAAACATCTGATACCGTTTCATATTTTAACTTGTGAATCAACAGTTAATAAAAATGAACAAATTAACTTCTGCAAAAGAAATAATAGAAAGATATACAAACACTCCTGAGCTGAAGCTGCACTTCTAGCTGCACATACTTTAGACTGCAGCATTTCCCGTCACAAGTCTTCTTATGGTAGTGACAAAGGTCTAGGTGAACTTTCTGATGAAGCGCAGTTTGAGGTAAGCGATGGTGAGGAAGCAGATGGTCATGATGCCCAGAGCCATGTGGTTCTGCCAGAAGCCCCAGGTGGAGTAATCCACACCCTGCTCCTCCAGAAACTTCTCCCCCGTACAACTGGACACACACAAAGGTTCGTCAATAACCAAATAACCCACCAGGTCACAGGCTCTGATGTTACTATCCGACTGACACAGCTGTTTCTGTTTCAGTTAATGATTGTATTTTAACTTACAAATTGAATAGACGATCAACAGCACCTGATTGGTATAATTGTTGATTTGAGATGCCTACAAAATCCCAGACGTTCTGTAAATTTCCGCTTCATCAACTGACAGCCTGACGGCCACATCTGGCCCACCAAAGCTTCCCATCCGGCCTGCAGAATGGCCACTGATGAAATTATTTCAATACTTATATATCTGCATATTACGACCTGTGCATCTGTGGGGAAATTCCCGGAAAAGATGCTGTATTAAGTTATTGGTAATGCAAACTGAACATTTCCTGCTGCTGCAGCTTCGCATTAAAAACATGTAACGTGTGAAATACCAGTTGACTTTTATTATGAAGGTGTCACAGGAAATGCAATGTATTTGTCAGTGAGATTATCACTGACCGCTATCTTTCATCAACAATGTGTCTACAAAACAAGACAACGCTCTTTTCCAGACGTTTTAGCTATTTGATGAAGCTGCAGGCGACAGGCTGAACGCCTCCACCTTCTCAGCCAGGTAACTCCTTTCACTTTCGCTGTTTGTCTTCTCACGAAGACGGAACTGCCCGATAATAGTTTGTTTAGCTGCACAACACCTCTGTGACCTGTAGTATTAAACCGCATTGTTGTTACCCCCAGTAACTACCGGTGTTGCATGCACAATAACAGTGCAAATGCATAATAGCGTCAAAACCGGTTGATTAATACTTGATGCCAGTTAGTTACAGTTACAGATTCTATCACTTCTCGGTATTCTGCTTGGGGGAGGAGTCTTTAGTATGAAATTATCATTGTGGATTTATAATGTTTTTGTTTTTTTTGGAGTTTAGGCTACTAAAAATGTTAATTTTGTGAAAGTAAAATGTATTTAAAATTCGGCCCCCACAGTGTCTGCTTAGAAAAATTCTGGCCCTAGTTGAGGACCCCTGGTCCACTTCCTCTCAGATTGCTGGGATGTAATGTGCCATGCTGTCCAGCAGGTGAAGCCATTACTGTGTCACACTCTGTTGCCCTTGTTATTCATAAATGTTGTTTGTGTGAGTGTTTCTTACGCGAGTCCAGGTGGAATGCTGCTTATGTTTATCCCGCGACAGAGGTTCAGCCCAGTAAACTCATTAACCTGCAGAGCCTGGAGAGACACAAAGATAATCATCATCTATTTTACAAAATGCCGGTATTCATCCTTTGAATTTAGTTTGCATTTTTCTTTATTTGTCTTTTTGGTCATCATCTGCCAACTTCCTTTACTGCACCTGCTTATCGATACATCACCCTTCTGCTTCAGCCAAGAATTTGGAAATTAAAGTCACATATTTACGAGAAACAAACTCAGGATACTGTTTGCCAGATGTGTTTGAGTTATTAAAGGCTCTGTACTCTATTAAAAGCAGGGTACGCCGATGTTAATACTGCCGTCACATATATAGAGGTGGTTCTGAAGTGCAAATGACAACAGCAATTTGTGGCAAATTGCAGTTGTGGTTTGCACTTCAGGGCCACCGTACCTATAAGCTACTTTCACCAACCAGTAATAAAGAAACTGGCTTTTGTTCAACGACTAAATAACTGCAGACATTTATAAATGACTGCCCCTCATATCTGCCAGCCGTTGGCTCTGTAATAACTTTTTTTTTTTTATCTACAATGGCCTTAATATGCTGTCACTTAGAGTCATTGTCTTATTTGAGAGAGGTACAGATACGGGAAGTGAAGGCAGATTTGATAGTCTGTGTGTATGTGTACGTACACTGAGGCCATATCGTGGTATACTTAAGTATTTTAACCAAGCGAGCCAGCTGACGATGGAGGGAAGATTCACAAGCAAACCTGCGAAGATCTACAGAAAAGAGAGAGAGAGGTTTACAGGTAAGATATTAATACCGGTTTTTCAGACTTAGTTGTTGTTCTGGTTTTGTATCTGAATGCTTGTGTTATGGGTGCAAGATTTTAAAGAATTAAATTTTGCTCATTTTCAGGTTCAGTGTGTTACAAATTGACGCCAACGGATCTTGCCCATGTAACACCTTGGGAGTGAGAACAGGTTGTCATTTCAGCTGACAAAATTGATCATTACCGTCTATACATAAACAAGTTATTGTTATTAACTGTGAGAAAATGTGAGAAAGGAGTGATTGATTGCCATAGTAACAGTAACTAAACAGGACGGGCCTTAGCATGCAATTTATTGCATGTGCAAGTGTTTGTGCTGCTGTGCATTGATGTGTGTACACGTCACCATCATGAAGACGCAGGCAATGGTCATGAAGATGTTTGCGATGGCCACCACCGTCTGGTCGGCTGAGATGGCCAGAGCCATGGAGGTGGCCGTGTAGGACACAAGAGTCACAGAGAACATGAAGAGGAAGAAGGCTTCAGCTGTCGGCTTCAGACCTGCGCACACACAGTTGTGTTTGAATCACCTTAGGGGGTATTACATTGACTTACATTCAATCCTTGGAGACTTACCACACCCATAAGCACTACTTGCCTAAACCTAACCCTACACACAAACCTTAAACCAAGTCTTCACCTTAAAATTTAATGATTTATGTTATAGGAACTTGCATTTTGTCCCCATAAGGAAGGAGAGTCCCCACAATGTCACTGTGTTAACAGATTCGTCCCCACAACATTGGTATTACTCTGACACACACACACACACAGCCCAAAGGACCATGGTTATGGTCATTATTTTTTTTTTTTTAAATGAGTTCATACTCAACAAAATGTTAACGACATCTTCTATAAACAAATAATCTAAAGTTATAAATACTTTGTCTGTGTGTGTGTACTTATTGGAAGTCAAATTGGAAAAAAGCGTCAGCATTATCTGTCACAAGATAAGAATTATACCAAGACTAGGAAATTAAATTCAAGTCCAAACTTTTAAAAAATCCCTTGAGAACGAACTAAAAATAAACCGTATTTGAAACATATTCAACATATAAAAAGAGGGATGGCCTTAAATGTAGTAAATGACTATATGAAAATGTAATAAGGGCTGCAATTAACAATTATTTTCATTATCAGTTAAACTGTTACTGTTATATTTCGGATGCACAGATTAATTGTAACATCTAGAAAATGTGGAAAAATAGTGATAAATGACAATTACAGCCAACCAGCTGTCCAACTAACAGTCCAAAACTCTAAAATAAATTCTTCATAAATAATGATTACTTGATTATTAAAATAGTTGACTATTAGTTTTCTGTATACATGCAGTATAAGCAAAGCTCACAACTTAGCATGTTAGTGTCCTACCCACCAATCATGAAGTACGCCACACAGCTGAAGACTATGGCGGGGATGGTCCTCAGCGTTAAGATGTCAGACAGGATCTTACACAGGAAGTACACAGACAGCCTGTAGTATCCGCTGATATACTCGTGACTGATGAGAGGCAGAAACAAACAAAGGTCATCAAATGACAGTGGGAGGTAACGGTTCTCTGAGAGGTCCTGTACACCAGAAAGAAGCTGAGACATCATGGCAATGTTGTCAAGACTCACGTCCCACCTGGGAACAAAATTCAGGTCCCCATAAGGTGATTAACCTTTTAATTTGGATTTAAAAGGGTTAGTTCATTTTGGTAAAATACCAACCAGTTTTCAACCCAGTCTTATTTGGAAAGTCTAACCAGATGTTGCATGTTTATTATTACCAACTTGACCACGCAACCCTACGCTTGCAAAATCGGTGCTAAAGCGGTACCCAAGGAGTTAAAAAGTGACGCTAAGGAGTCCCGACCAAGAATCCATGTGTGACAAGTTTGGAGTGAGAACGTGTTGTAAATACGCATCTCAACCTTCTTTCAGACACGAGAGATGATTGAGATTGGTTTTATGTTTGTGTGTTAAGACATGGACATATATTGGACAGAGAGAAGCTAGATATTTCCTCCTGTTTCCAGTATTTATGCTAAGCTAACCACGTCCTGACTGCTGGCACAGAGACATGAGACTGATGTTTTTTTATCTCATTCACTCTCAGAAAGAGAGTCAAGATGTGCATCTCTCAAAATAAACCGTTCTTTTAACCCATAAATAAAATGTTAACTGTGTGGAGACCTGACTTTTGTCCCCAGATTGTGACTGAATTAACAATGTGATCACACACACAATGCTATTGATCATCTTACTCTAAGTACATACAGTAGAGTAAGAGTAATTCTGCAAATGTTGACTTGATTCATAAAGGTCTGGATTTATGGTTTGGGGGGGATTTAAGAAAATAAGTGTGCGTTGTTTGTCAAACCCACATGAAGAGTTTTCTCTCTGAGATGAAGAGTTCAGCCGATGACAGGGAGCTGAAACACTGATTCACAACGATGAAGAAGAGCGCGCCAAACCTGAAAACGCAACAATGCAATCAGTATACAGGCCGATATACACTCTCTGATCAAGTACATGTAATTTGAGAATATTGTAATAGTATGTTATTATATTTTAAATTATAAGTATGGCAAATGCTACTTTTACTCCTCATTTACTTCTATTACAGTTACTAATTTACACTGTCAAAAAATAAGTTAATTAAAAAGTAAGACTTAACTAAGATAAGAAATTCTGAAAATATAAATCTATACTTTTAAAATATGTTGAGAATTAACAAAAAAAAATGAAATTGTAATATAAGCTCCAAATAAACAGAGCTTAATAATGAGCGCTTTAACTTACACACCATTAGAAATGAATCTGTTGATTGTTATTTTTGAATGTATAGATATATAAATAGTGACAATCTTCGTGCTGCTATTAATAGTTTAACAAGTTTCCACTAGTGACACAACTACAAAAGATGCCGCTCACTTTATAAAAGAAAAACCAAGTTACAAAACTCCTGTAGATGAAGTTGCACATATTTTTGAATTATAAATTACATAATGAATCAAACCACAATAAAATACCTGTTCTGCATTCCACTTTGATCCTCCTTGACATTAAAGAAAATGGCTCCTACGACCAGAGCGAGGAACAAGGTTACGGCCACCTGGACAAAATAAAAACAAAGTATACACAATTAGTAAAAGCTGCTGTGTTGAGTGTGATGAACATGCACGGCAAAAACAACAACTGCACATCGCTTCCACTCTCACAAATAAAAAGGCCAGCAGCCAGTAAGGAGGAGCGGTAATGTCCAGGAGTTTCCGCTGGTTACCTGGCAACTGCTCGAGCCAAGAAAGACCTGGACCAAGGAGTCTAACGGACGCATGAGTCAGAGGGTTAAGGGTTCAGTCTTTTCCAGTCTTTATGCTAAGCTAACCAGCTGAAGGCTGTAGCTTTATATTTAATATACCGACATCAGAGCGGTATTGATTTTCTCATAACTCACAGCCAGAAAGCGAGTGTTTTTCCCCTCCTGACCAGAAAAGCGTCTGTATAGGTTGATTACTATACAGCTTAATACAACCCATATTTACGCTTTTTTTGTAAGGACGAGACCTCTAGTTGCAGAACAAGTCAGGTGATGTAGTAAAAAGCAACAAAGTCCATATAAGCAGGTTGTGGGGGTGGATGGATGCATCAAGTAAGCTCAGGGCTTTCACTCAGGAGGTTTGAGTCCCATGTGAAAGAAAGTCAAAGTTGACGTGATGTTTTAGGGTACACAAGGTTTTGTAGACGACTTACATAATGAACTCATTTTAACACAAACCACCATCCTTGCCCGAACCTAACCAAGTGTTAACCACCGTTAATGTTAATCACGTGTTAAATGTATTTGTACACCTGTCGCTGGACTGGTACTTGCCAACGCTCGTTGTAGAGTATAAATGGCACTTAAGGAGTTAAGATGGGTCAAACCCAAGACGTTAACACAGGAGAACGGCTTTCATAACCCCTTGTGAAACCAAATAAATGTAGTTATTTTAAGCTAAGTTAGATAACTGATTTCCATCACATAACTTTAACCTAAACCTAACCAAACTACGACCGTAAACTTCTTTTTGCTGTAGTATCAGGTTATCACAGTCAAAAAAACAATGTAAGCAATGTGATTTCGGTTTTCTGTAATGGAAAAAAAAAAAGCAGGAAACCAAACCAGCTTTTAAAATCACCTTTATAAACTACAATAATCAACACGTTTGTATGATGAACGCTGCCTACCAAACACTTTAGACCGATATTGGTCAGTATATATATGATGAAAGGCTGAAGGCTGCTCGATGTTCCTACCTGAGCAATGGAGGTCTGAGGGTTGAGCATGAGGTTGCGGAACGTTCTCTTGAGAACCCATCTGAATTGGGTCATGAAACCAGTGTTGTAGGTGATGGTTCTTGTGGTAGCAGTGGTGGCTGTTGGCTTCCCCTGAATTATCCTTTCTGAGAGAGACAGGAGGCAGTGAAGGTTTTTATTTGATATTTATTCATGTAAAACGGTTCTGTCTGAAGTACTGTCCTCAGTTTGAATTTTAGTTTAGTTTGTATTCAATAATAGAGACAAAAGAACCATATTTATTTTTAAAAAGAGGCAATTGCTCAAATAACACAGTTGAAAAACATCAAAAAGATTTCTGCAGTCTAAAAAGAGTGTTTCGAATTATTTGCTGTCTGTTGAAATATGAAATCTGTTTATATCCCCAGTATAAAAAGTACATATTAAGACTTAATTTTGTATTGCTTGATTTTAATATTGCAATTTACTTTAACATTTTTGCTTTTTGGTTATTCATGTGGTTTTACAGTATAATGTATTTATTATCCCTCCTAGAAATTCAATGTCAAACATTATTTATCATGAGTTTAGTTCCTGTATTTGTTGCACAATTCCCCAAAATTATGAATTTTATTCACACTTAAATTCAGTGATATTTTAAAATCAAATGTATTTTTTTGTAAATACTAAATAAAAATTAACAAATAAATTATAGGGGACGATAAGATTTTAGTGATCCTGGGGGGTTGGAATTCACAAGCTACCAGCAGTTTATAAAGTGATTAAATGAGCTCCACTTTTACCAGCTGAAAGCGATGAACACATTAATGCATAAATAATTATAATCCAATATTATAATACACATTATTTAAAAATGGTCTGCATAAAGGGTACTTTTGCTTTTTGTATTTTTGACACTAAAGTAAAATTTGGAGTGCAGGACTTATAACAGTATTTCTACTTGTTATGTAAAAACTTCCACTGTGTAAATTAGCAGCTAGCATTTCTTTCAAAGGACTGACGGGCAGTTTGATGATGCAGATTTGGGACACTTAAATTACAGATGAAAAACTCGACACTGTGACCTTTTGTACCTACCCAGCTCTGCTTTGGTCTGTTTGAAATAGCTGCAGTTTCTGTATTCCTCTACGAGTTTCTCCTCGATCCCCCTTCTGGACATCGACACAGAGTTTGAATCTAGATCCATATCTGGAGGAAAGGAAGGCATTCAGGATTGTCCAAAACAGGGAAAAGGAAATGAAAACATACAAAACTACTGTAATTAAATGGTTCCTGTTGGACTAAAGAATTCATCTCGCAACAGGAAATAAATTCAGGTCTCTGGTCCAAACACACCTTCGCTGTCAATGTCGCTGTAGGTGACGGCAGTTGAGTCTCCGTTAATGATGTCCAGGAAGAAGTCAGCAGGGTTGTTGTGGGGCTCACAGGTGTATCCTTGGAAATGGAGTTAGAAAACAAGTTACATACATCACCTTTACATCAGTCAAAAGTTAAATTAAAGTAAATTTTTTGTTCCTACCAATGTCTGAGAAATATTCCAGTGCTTTCTGTGCTGGACCATGGTAAACCTGATCATGAGATAAAACAAGAGTTACTATGAATTTATGTTAGTAAAGTCCTTACACAACATAAAATATGACAACAGCTGATGTGTTTTATAGAGGGGATTAGGAAAACGGATTGACAACAGGTTGACCAAAGAAAAAGTGAAGAGAAACTAAACTGATGATGAAAAAACAACAGAAAAGGTCAACAAAAATGAAACAAAAAGATAAAAGCAAATAAAGAGTAACAAAAGACAAGTAAGAAAAGAAAGAGCAGAAAGAGTAGGCAACAGTAAGAAACTAAGACAAAACTAAGTGATGAGAAAAAACAAATCAAAAAGTGACAAGATTAATGAAAAAAAAGCAACTAAATAAAAATGGTGACTAATAAAACAAATTAGTAAGGAGGAATCGAAGAAACATGCAGATAAAAAGGAAAAGACAGAAATATAAAAAGTAAAGAAGATAAAGGATGGAAACACTGTTGGAGGTCGTGACCTGTTTGCCGTTGACCAGCAGGGTGAGGCTGTCGAACAGGCGGTAGATGGAGTATCGAGGCTGGTGGATGGACAGGATGATGGTGCGTCCGTTGTTTGCCATCCTGAAGAAACGAGAACGACATGTTAAGAGTAACCTCACCTGTACACACACGTGGGTTTATGTAACGCAGACACAATAAAACATTCTGTAAATGCTGTTTTTGGAAAATGCACAGACAAGGTTTGAAGTGCGTTTGAGCAACGTGCAGCAGAAATAAAATCAAAATCAGTGCACTAAACTAGCGGGTAATTTGATGAGAAACATCCAGGAACAGAGCTTAACTTTCTGCATCAATATGCTGTAGCTGAAGATTAAACTTCACATAAACATTCAAGCACTTTTTCATGATTTCTCAGAAATAAAGTTTGAAGAAATAAAAACAATGGTCATTACATAATACTATAGAACACGCTTGTGTTTTTATATTGACAACCAAGTTAAAAAATGAAAAGAAAAGTGAAATATTAATTTAAAAACAGGCAAAAAAGGGGCAGCTTTATTTATACAGCACATTTTTAAACACAGAGGCAGGTCATACATTTACAAAAACGAAAGAAAAGCATTAGTTTGACTTTCACAAACAATAAGCAATAAAAACCAGAATAAAGTCAATTAAGATTAATAACTTGTGTTGAGAATAAAAATGAGAATTTCAAATGTATTTTAAATTAAATAACCAGACCAGAGATTTGCTGCAGTGAAGCAGTGAAGTTGTATTGGGGGATAAACCCATATAATGAGCATGCCAACTAAGCATAATGTTTAATATCCGTTGATCTGAAGTCGTTTTTTAGCCACTGCGGATGTTTGTGGTTTAAAGTCTCAGCCAAACTGTATTTTGTTGTAATGTTACAAGCGCCACAAGAGGGCGATGGCTACATTTAAAGTACCCTACAGTGCAAGTCGCTGTGTGTGGGCCTATTTAACTGCAAGAATTGCACTATACTTGTGAGGTCTGACAGCTTTGTGGGGACCAAATTGCTGGACCCCACAAGTTCAAAGGGCTTTTTGAGGATCAAATGTGATCAAATGTTGGCAAGTAGTACTGATGGTTAAGTTTAGAGTACAGCGGGTAGGGAACGCATGATGATAGTGGGGGGGGGGGGGGGGGGGGGGGGGGGGGGGATGTGTATTACTAATGTTGTGGTAACATTAATCCGTTCACACATTCACATTGTGGAGAGTCAACTTCCTTTTGGGAAATTTATTTAAGTAAATTTAATGTCTTTAAAAGTGACATAAAAATAAGTGTGTGTTTGTGTGTGTGCACGGACCTCTTGAGCAGCAGCAGCACTGAGTTAGCGGTGCTGGCGTCGAGGCCCGTGGTGGGTTCATCCAGGAAGAGGACGGACGGGTCGATGATGAGCTCCATGCCGATGTTCGTCCTCTTCCTCTCACCGCCGGAGATCCCACGAATCAGCTGGGTGCCAACCTGCGCAAACACACACGGGTTTGATCTTCTATACTCGTGAGGACCTTCAGTGACACAACCATCATTGTTTTCCTTTTGCGACAGTTTCGTATTGCAATGTGTGAAGCTCATGTAAATTCACATGTGAAACCTTTGGGATTATGTGTGACTGTAGGGTTGGACATCATTTTCTCATGATGTGCAGATCAAAACTAAAGTAGTGATATTTCTGATCCCCATGTTCCTGCTCTAGGATCGATTCTCACATAACAGGATTGATTGAGACTCTTGAGTAATTTGGATTAAGTGTGTATTTTATCATAAGTAACTTGCTGTCACCAAGATTGTCTAATTATACCCGGTGGATATGAACTACTTCTCCTTCAGCCTGTCAAAGTCGTGTGTGCACTGTGGCTCTGTGATGTAGCTTTTACAAGCTGATCCACTGCAGCCCTTTCCATTTCCAGTGAAGTCTGAATACCGACTATGGCTGACCGTAAAAGGAGTGATGTCTGGCTGTATTTTAGCTGTGAAGGTAATAATGATGCGGTGTGTGATGTGTGTGTTCAAAGACGGTGAAATACTGTGGCAACACCGCAAACCTCGCTAAATATCTGAGAAGTCACAAGTTCTGAGGAGGATTATTATTATAATTAAAGAATATGACCGTAGTTTGATGTCTTGTCATTATGCAGCTATAATTTACTTTTATTTCCATAAATCAATACAGAATTTGGGGAGGGTGGTCACATTTTACTAGAAATAAAAATACGTAAAATTGGTACCAGCAATATAAACTTGGTATTATTTGGTATCAGATCGTTAAGGAGGTAGTGGTTCCTCACATCACTATCAGTCTGATTTTAACAAATCTGATTCCAATTCTTCCTTTTGATTCTGGTTCTTTTTTTACTCTAATTTCCCCTACTTTGCTGCTAACGTGAACAGAGTTTCCTGTTTAACATCAGCAGCAGTAGGTCTGCTACTTGCGTTAGAAATTTGTGTATATTTACAAGAAAAAAAAAAATACATTACAGTGACGTTCACCACAGCAATTTGGCAACTTGTTTGACTACAATTTCCCATACCAGATTACAACAAGGTTCTAGTAAGCTCAGGGTTGTCTGAGGGGGACGAGGCAGGACATGGAGACTGGCGTAGCACGTTGAACACAGTGTTTACTCATATTTGTAGTGCATCCCCCCATTAAAAGAAATAAGTGTCTCACAGGCATTGCAATGTGCGGACCCCGGCTTTTGTGTTTTTTGTGTAAGGGTCTTTTCCTACAGTGTTTCCATCCTTTCTTCTTCATTTTCTCTCTTTCTTTTGTTAGATCCATCTTTAGACTTCCCCTCCTTCTTTTTCCAATCGCTTTGCTCTCCATTTCTTTGTCCCTTTTCTTGTCCCTCCGTCTTTTTACTTCCTTCCTTTCCTCCTCACCTTGGAGTTGGCCACTCGGCCCAGTCCCAGCTCCTGGATCAGTTTGTCGACCCTTTGCTCTTTCTCCCCCTGAGAGACGGACGCTGGGAGACGCAGCGCCGCCGAGAAGCTGAAGTTCTCTCTGACCGTCAGAGTTCCCATCACCACGTCATCCTGAAGACAAGAAACCATCGTCAATAACTAAAAACATCAAAACATTTGCTGATGAATGCATGTTTACAGTTAATCATTTCACAGTAGATTAGATCTACGGTGGTATTTCATCCAGGTCTGACACTTTAAGAAAGCCTGAGAACGTGTCGATATTTGCAGCACAATGTACATTTCAGCGTCCATATGAGACGCCCGAGCTTTCAAGTAACTCCAATGTAACCTATCCCCTGTCATATAATGTACTTATTTCAACCCAAGATCTTTTACTAAACCCTAAGGGGTTTCATACAGTGGAAGGCATAGGTGGAAATCACAGGGGGGGCGGGACCTAGCCATTCTGAGTGATGTCCCATGATAATTCAGTAATATATTGATTTATACTTGTGTATACTTGTAAGTAGTAAAACACTCAGGTTAGTTTAGAAACAACCTTTCCTCACAGTAGTTTGGTCCCCTGCCTGCTTTCCCCCTTTACGCCAGCTACATGTTTGGAGAACAAAGTTTGAATCGCTTCAGTAGTGGTTTAACTCCAGTGAGTAGGCCGGCAAGGCTGTTTTATTCACTTTAAACATCAGATGAAGATGATGATGCCGAGTCACTAATAAATTAGTCGTGTGATTAGTGATTATGACATTACCGATCTTATTTGGTAGCCTGTTGGGAAAGCCAGTCTGCTAAAGTCCCAATCAAACTAACATGGTGTTAAGCCTATGTGTGAACGAGGCTGACCCTGAATAGTCAAAGATTCGATGCTTCGATGGGCGGAGCCTGATTTGACTGCCAATCTCAACATCGAATCTTCGCAACGCTTATGAAACAAGGATCAAACAATTTTTGCGATATGAGGGTGCTCAATGTCTGATTTTAAATAGAACTGCTGGTTTTCTCCCAGTAAATGAATATATATGATGATATTTATATCATAATAAGGCGTACCCTATTATGATATAAATATCATCATAAGTGTTTGTGAATAAATCCAAAATTGTAACCCTTACCCTTAAGGAAGGGGGCGTCAGCGCGCACGTGTGGGTGTAGTGTGTGTAAAGGCTTGTGCAGACTACACGACTTTCAGCGTTGTCCAATCGCCATGCTGTTCAGACAACAAGACTTGCTGTCTTGTGACGGGAGTCTGGAAGTTGTCGTGGCGTTCACACTACGTGACCCTGTAGACAGGGGGTCACACGCTACATGAGCTGACAACGGCTGTATCACCTGATGACTGGCCTCCAAACCACATTTTTTCAAGAAAACACGCCGCTGGGCGCCGAGCTCACCAATCAGCAAATCTGCCATAAAATTGCCACAAACTAGGCTTGAGTGTGTGCGGTCAGGCAGAGAGACAGCGCACCAGCTTGACCGGTGTTGTACCGAGTTGTCCGCACCTCACGGGACGTTTTGATCCTTTATCACCATTGATGAACCACACAAAGAATATTATATAATTTTTAAATAGTTACTGGAAATAGACCCAAGAGGAACTGCATAGTGCGTGCTGTTGTCGGTGGCACAGCACACACACAAAACACACCACAAGACCGGTGAATAGCTGGCGAGCAGAGAGAAAAAGGTCAACTTGACAAATCTGATTCGACTATGTAAATCCTTAGGCGGGGACAGCCCTAGTGGGGCAGATCAGTGGACTTGCTGCAGTTTAAAACTTAACATTCGTCCTCTGTCCCAGACGAAACCTAAAATACGCAAGATAATTTAATAATTATAATATGACCGTGTGAGGAACCTGTGAACCCTAACTCCTATTTAAACAACTATCGCTTTGTGTTGTTAAACACACTGATAAAATGACTACAGTACAGTTGTATTATTTGTGTCCCCTTCAAAAACTGCTCTTAAAGAATACTGTCTTCATTGTCACCCCCAACTGTTAGATGAACTTTACGCCCCTGGTTAAAGGGTATTTGTCGCCTGTGATGAGAACGTGTTGTTTTTTTTCTAAAATAGCTTATTGTATGCTGTATGTGAATAAAACAGACTTGTCCTAGGAATCTGGTCTTATTGTTACTTGCACTACCTTCCTGCCCCGGTCCAGGAAACCCTCCTGAATCAAATCCGCTCTTATTGGCTCCTGTCACAGGGTTGGTTGGCTTCTACAGGTCTGACTTCCTGCCTGACTTCCCGTCTGTCTGTCTCACCCACCTACCTGCACCACATATCCAGACAGACACTTGAAGTTTGGAGGCTGAGGAGCTCCGTTGATCAAAACTTCTCCCGTCAGTCCTGCAGGGTCCTTCCTGGCTGCCAAGACATCCAGGAACCTGACCGACAAGCAGCAACAAGCTTTTACTTAAACATCAGGTTGTCTCATTCATAAAGACGCTCCTAAGCTTCCAAATCAGAAAGCTTCAAATTAAAGTTTTTGCTTTTGAGAGTTAGCGACACCCTTCATAATCATAAAAAAACCCAACCGTATCAATTTAACAGACCTGGAACAGTCCTACTTTTGTGTTACACGTTATGTGAATCTGGAAAGGATGGCAGCCATTAAATGACTTCTTCTGACTTTACAAAGACACTCACGATGACTTGCCGCTTCCAGTCGCTCCCATGATGGCGTTCAGACCCGGCTTCATGCACCCACTGAGGGAGAGAAAGGGAACAATGACAGTGGAGACATTATCTCACAAGTTGGAGTTAAAGTTTTTATTATTGTCAACTACCACCAGCACACACGGGCTTACGGGACACCACAAATAAAGAAAACTAATATAAATAACTGTTTCAATAACATTCACACATAACATTGTATTAGTTAGTTAAACTAAATACATAAATAGAAATACATAAATAGAAATTACAGAGTCATGCTGTTATATTTTTGTGGAACTGAAAGGTAGTTTTGTTAGTAAAGAGTAAATTTTGTCAGTTCAGTTTTTTCTGTTCTGCAATAGTTTGATTCATCTTTTGCTGTTTTTGCTGACTCATGGAAAGGACTTCCTCCTGTCCAAACACTGATTCATTTTCAACACTGAAACAATGACACTGCAGTTTGGTCTCTCCACCATGTGTGTGCTGGTCCCGTCTGTCTTTCTTCATTTCTCTTTTTTGACAAGGAACTGAGAGGTTTTATGGGTTTTTTCCCCAGCAAACTCAGTGAATAATGACAGTTTAGTTTTTATACCTGGTTCTTTTTTATTTTTTTCCTGATTCTGACAGACCCCTGGCACCAAATGTCTGCCAAATCATTATTCATCAAGTCTCATAAAACATGACACTGTGGTTTATTTTCACCACTGGTGTATAAATAGCACGGCACTTTAAAGGACATTGTGTGCGCCATGTCAACACATTTTAAGCTTTTTGCGTGTTTTTTAATGCCGTTTCGTCCCCATAGACCGCAGCAACACAAAGGTGGTTAAGCCTTTGACATGCACACAATCACTGACTTAGGTTTAGACACACACTCCTGTGATGGTCAGAGTGAGGGGATTCAGGGGGCTGTCTTTAGCAATAACATAGTTGGCTAGCTAGCTAGTTACTTAAAATTGCTAATGTTAGCTACATAGCATTGCTAACGTAGCATTGCTAACTCAAAACATCATGGTTTGGGTTACAATAACGAGGTCACTTAACTTACACAACCTATGTAACTTTACTGAAAATGTGTGTTTGATTTTTGTTTCACACAGGAAACAAACGCTGGTCTCCTGGATCAAAGCCCGGTTTATGCTCTTCCATCTACCTCCTTACTCTGACGTTTCTGGTTATTTATCCTACACTTCGTCTTTCTCCCTGTGCCAGTTGGCGTACAATGGCAGGCCGTTTCTGCACAGTATAAGTACGAAGGGGCTAAATGGTGAACTTTGTGATTACAGGTGCCGTGCTGTCATATGTTTGAGGAACTGAAAAGTTGAGTAAATTGCGACAGTTCAGGTTTAGTGGAGCTGTTTCGAAACAGTTTGATTCATCTTTTGGTGTTTTTGCTGACACGACTTCCTCCTGTCCACACACTAATTTAATTTCACCAAAACCGTGACACTGCAGTTTGGTTTTGCCTCTTACATCCCTCATTTTTATTTTTCTAAGATGTATAAAGCGCTTTTTAAAAAAGGAATTGAGAGGTTTTATGTTCCTTTTTCCAGCAAACTCAGTTAATGGCGGTTTAGCTTTTGATGAAACTGTTGAGAAACCTATGGGCAGTACTTTCCCCTGAACAATGTCTGCCAGGTCATTAGTCATAAAGTCTCATAAAACTAAAGTGACCAGATTTCTGAAGTTAACACTGGGGATATTTTTGGTTTGGTGGTCAGTAAAAAAATAGATTATGTGTTATTATATATGAAATAAAAAAGGGGGACAATTTCGGTTTTATATTCTGTCAAATATAACAATTCTGAATTAATCAAGTCATATTGAGCCAGGATCTACCTTTCAGTCAATAAATAGAAGCTGCAATCACTTTCTGTAAGTAGAATACTGCATGTTATGGGTTGTATTGGCCATTTAAAGGTATTTCAACAGATAAAAAGGACTGGATTGTTTGCTACACAGCAATTTAAATAATGTAGAGTCATAAGGATAATTGCAAAAGAGATCATGTCTATTTATATTCTATATATAAAAAAACAGTAATCATGTTAGTTATAGGCTTCATTCCATTTTCCAAATATAAACAAGGATATTAGACATAGGCCTACCGAACACATAATCCATCGGCAACAACAGGCTTCTATTATTGCCTATAATCACATACATGTCAGGCCTGGTTACACTATAAATTGTAAACACTTATTTAGCCACAACCATAGGCGGAAATCACTGGGGTACGGGGGGTACGGGGGGTACGGGGGGTGCCCCCCCCCTTAAAAAATAAACAGTAAAACAAAACAAACAAAAACAGGGCAATTAAAGTGTTTAAGTTCAGAAACATTTTGAGTCACCCCGTTCTTGCCTCACAGTGGTTTGGTCCACTGCCTGCTTTCCCTCTCACAGGAGTATGGTGGCAGAAAACCAGTTCAAATCCATCAGTAGTGGAACTCCAGTCATGTTAAGCAGGCTGGCTGTGCTATTTTATGCACTTACTACCAATGGCTCCGTTCTACGTAATACGGAGCCAGACGGAACCGGTGTTGCATAAATGGACATGTGCTCCGCACAGCAACGCTCAGTCTGCCTGTAGCGCTCAGCGACAACAGCAGTCTGGTAACATGCTTCAGGTCTTGGCCAATCAGAAGACAGTGGTCTGTGTGAGGGGGGGCTTTAACGAGACAGGAGCATCTACAGCTTGTTTCACAGAGAGGCTGAATTGAAGGCCTACATGGAAAGTCAGTATGAGACAGAATTATTTTTTTTAACTTTGAATCATGCAAAGCTGCCACACAGGAGTCACAGAACAATATAACTGGAAATGCAGTATAATAAGTCTCCTTTAAGCTGAAAAATGACCAATTCCAGTCACCATCCGATCGATCTATGCTTCTCTACTATAAAATTGATAATCTGTTTGTTGTGTTTCTCCAAAAGTTGGAGTATTTTGTCGTTTTACTGCAGCGCCTGATTGAATTCAGCCTAACTTACTGATTGAATAATCAAGTTATACCATTTGTCAATCAAGTGTTGGGAGTTTCCCACCCGGCCGTTGCTCTGTCAAAATGAGTAGGTGTGAACTGTAGTTATGTACAGTAACTGATTCTATTAGGACAGACACAGCGCCCTCTTATCACTAGTGGGTCCATATCACGCAGGACTGAAGACTTTCAGCCTGCGGCCTCTTACTACATGCAAAAAATAACCACCAATAGAGAAATACAGCGAGAAAAGGGAATGTCCCAAATCTTCCCTTTAGCTCAATATGAGAAAAGGGAAGAGAAAGTGAAGAGAAGCCAACGCTGGGTTTACCCACATCTCCATATTTAAATTTCGTAGGTAAACCAAATATTTAGTTTCCTGCCTCTTCATGATAATAGATCTGCTCCTGTCAAACTGCTGTCAGGTATGAGGATGCGTTCCTATAATAAAGAAATGTGGAACACAATGTGAATTTGTTGACCTGTTTTTACATACACACACACACACACACACCACTTTATTAGGTACACCTTGCTTGTCCCTTTGCCTTCAGAACTTCCAAATTTTCATGGCATATTTTCAACAAGGTGTTGGAAACATTCTTCAGAGACTTTGGTCCATATTGACATGATAGCATCACGTAGTTGCTGCAGATTTGTCAGCTGCACATCCATGCTCAATTACTGGATGCCTATGGGATCATGATTATATTATTTGATTCTGTCCTAAGGCATTTATTAGATTCTGACTCTGATGGGGGGAAAACCGTTCCCAAAAACTACTGTATCTCTGAACTCTCCCACATGTAGGCTATTCTATGTGATCTCCTTACTAATGCAATAACTAATGTACTATTGTTTCACTTCCATTCACTGAGCCCCCCCCGAAACTGTTTGGAACCCCCCTAGGGAGGCCCGCCTCACACTTTGAAAACCCCTGCTCTATTAAATTGAGATCTGGTGACTGGAGGCCATTGGAGTACAGTGAACTCATTGTCATGTTCAAGAAACCAGTTTGAGATGATTTGAGCTTTGTGACATGGCGCATTATCCTGCTGGAAGTAGCCATCAGAAGATGGGTTGATGTATGGATACTGTATGCCTAACATGCCAGGCAATAGTTGAACTGTGTATTGATGTATGGTATGCACCAGGTCTGTATCTTATGCATTTAGTGTCATACTATTTATTGTGTACTTTTACCATGCACTGTTTATCATGTATTGTATTATGTACTGTGTAATTATTATGCATTTTATATTTTTATTATGGGTATTGTGTGAATTCTGTATTTTGATAACATACTATGTTTTTAGCTCACTTCCTCTTTACGATCACTTTATCTTCTGTATTTTTGTTCTTGTATGGTAATATTTTTGTGAAGCACTTTGTGACTCGTGGCTGAAAAAAGCTCTAAACAAATAAAGTTTCCTTACTTAAGATATCTACCCCCCCCCCCCACACACACACACACACACACACACCCACCCAGCGCAAATGTCAAACTCTGCCTATGCTGAAGCCCATGAAACAGAGTTTGAGTCCAGAGAAGCTGCAGTTTCTCAAAACTGTTCTATGCACAATTATAAACTCTAGGTTGAAACAAGCTGTCAGGCACAGGCCACAGACATCGTTCTCACGTGAACAAATTAACTGAATATTCTCCAACATTTCTATAAAACACTGAATAAGCTTCTCAGACCGGGCTAACCTTCAACTTTGAGTCAGATTGGTCAATGATTAGACACACTGAACAATAAAATATCACCATCTATAAACCGTATTCAGGCGAACACGCACACTGCACCTTGACTGATTGCATTTTTCATAACATACATACATAATCAAAGACTTTCATAACAGAGCATAATTCAAGACTTTGACCATTTTCATAACAGAGCATAATGCAGGACTTTGACCATTTTCATAACGGTTTATAGTCAGGTGTGGGTTTTTCAGCCACAGAGTAAACAATAAGCCGTCTTGTTACAGCAGGCTTAACTGGGACTGATTGATTAGTTTAAGGATTAAACACAACAAAAGTCTATGGCCTCAATATGAAACTTTTAAGGCTTTAACTATAGTCTTCTGACTACTCAAAAGATCTTTTCAATTTCACCCATTCACAAAATTTCATACACTGATGGCAGAGGCTAAGGTGCCGCCTGCCATCGGAAACAGAAATACACATTCACACACCAATGGAACAGCAATCAAAGCAATTGGTAGCAACTAGGGATTCAGTGTCTTTCCCAAGGTTACTTCAACAATACAGTCTGGAGGAGCCGGGGATTGAACAGCTGACCTTCTGAAAACATGGACATAGCCACACCAGCCCTGGTTGATCTTTGTGACTTTTTCTCTCACCAAAGGATCAGCAACAATTCATCCTGATGTCTGTACAAACTTTTAGGCAGGGTACACCCTGGACAGGTCGTCAGTCCTTCGCAGGGCAGACAACCATGTACACTCACACCTAAGGACAATTTAGAGACACCAATTAACCTAGCCTGCATGTCTTTGGATGGTGGGAGGAAGCTGGAGCGAACGGAGAAAACCCACGGAGACACGGGGAGAACATGCAAACTCCACACAGAAAGGCCGGGGCAACCGCTAGAAGAAAATGTCACCATGATCATCAAAGTCCGCAGGATTCATCCTCTGGGAACCATGAAGGGTTGCACAAAATATCATGACAATCCATCTAGTAAATACAGGATCAGTTAAAAATGTGACCTGCTGGAGGCTCATAACAACAAGCACCATAGGTACTAGTGCCGAAGGTCACTGATGGAAATCCATCAAGCAGTTCACATACAATGTTAAGCTCATGGTGTTATAAGAGGAAAAGTCACATCCTGAAAGTTATTACAACTCTGAATTCAACAAATATATTGTTGAAATTGTCGGTCCTTTTATTTAGCCGAGTTCCCCAAACCAATAACCAAGAAACACACAAGACAAGAACGTAATCTGTCGTCTTAATTCAATGATTATTCTCTTAACATGAATATACTATAAGATACTTCAAATCCGAGCCAAAGTGGTGGACTGACTAACCAACAGACAGCCTGACCTCCCTAGAGCGAAGCTGCTAGCCTGGCTGATGAAAACAGAGAGACATCTTTTCTATTTTTAAATCCTCAACACTATACAAGCAAAAACATCTTTCTGTGAATTTAATACCCTGAACTTTCTCACCCAGCCAAATACATGGCAGCAGCTTCATCCTGCCACTGTGTCTGTTTGTTGGTTTAAGCCGAGAGTCATTGTTTCTAACGGGCTTCTGTATGTGTGCGTTTGTCACAGGGGGGGAAAATGGGAACCTGAGTTTCTTACAAACTTCCTTCCTTTGCCTCCAAACATGTGTGTGTGTGTGTTTGATCCAAGTGGGCCTTGATCGTGTCACGTTGGCCTCCCAGGTGGGCTCCTGTCGGCACGTAGACAAACAATCACACACAATAACTGCACATGTGGACCGTGCAAGTCTCAGTTTAACCATCAGCTCCAACCTTCAAACCTCAGATGGCTAAAAGATTTAGTGCGTTTTTCTTTGTGGAATTTGAGGTGATTACATTTGGCCGTGAAATCACATTCATTTCAGTAGAATCATTAGTATTGGTGGATTTGCTTGTGGGTCAAAGCAAGTCCAAGAACATTTATTTACTTGAGTTCTATTTTGAAGAACTTTGACACGCAAATTGACCAATGGCAAGCTGTCCTGACACTTCACAGTGATGCACATATCCCCACAGCAAATACAGAAGAGTTAAATATTTGGTGTTAGTGAAATTTAAGTAAATGAAGAGTTAATTGTGCTCTGATAGACAGTTCCATTATATGTGAAGTACTTGGTGTCAAAACAGAGTGTAAGAACAAAGTGTCACTAAATCAAACCTGTAAGTGTAACTGTATAAATATTAAGTAATGTCCCCCTGCCCTGACTGTGTAGCCCCAGACACAGCGGTTGGCTGAAGCCTGAGTGTCTTCATGAAAGCACTCCACTGACTGCTGGGAAACTTTTGATCTGCGTCTAAACTTTAACACTATAGTATCTGTCAATTTTATATTCTATATTGATATTCATAGTTTTCATGCATCCCACTCCAATGAAAACGCTCCCTTGGAGAGCAACAAGACGTTAATTTCCGTTGTCTGCCAACCAATAAGCAAGTGATACACTGTTACTTTGAGTTTGTTACTTTTTGCGTTGGCAAAATGCTGGATGGTTGTTGTTCTTTCAGATTTACTAAGCGAGGAGGAGACAAGCCTGAGCTGTGTTAGGTGAGGGATTCCCCAGAAGGTGAACGTAATCATTACCACAGTCGAGCGGCGGCAGGGATCTGGTGGTTTTTAACGGTAGAAATGCTGTAGCGGATGTAACGTTATATGGATCACATATACCCAACACTTGCAGTTTATGTTCATATCCTTCTTTTTCTTAAGTTGAGAGGTGATCAAAATAATATTTGACTGCTTTTGCGGCGTCTCTACGGGGAAGTCGCGCTGTGAGCCGCTATGTTGGTCCGTTGTTTTACCCTCCAGGTCACCGCACACGTCACGTGACTGAAAACTATGAATTACTTTTGTAGGGAGGGACACACACACGCAAGACGTGACACCTTTACAATGTTACGGGGCTAACAGCAGAGTAGTTAACCATTGATCCTCAGAGAGTTACTGTGCAACACTACATAAAAGGTGTTAAGAAAAACTAACACTGGCCGGTGTTAAAAAGTGTTAAAGTCCCCAGAGGAGCTCCACTGCTAAAAACTACTGATTCAGTCAGTGAAAATGTGCTTGAAGTGGAAAGAAAAAGGTGCCAGTACCACCTCACCCCCCCAAGAAAATATCCCAGTACGCAAAGAGTAAAATGTTGAGGTGCCGATACCGGTGCGTTCTGGCCCACTTCAAGAACTGGTTGGTTCTCTTTCTAGTTTATAATCTGACCAGATTGGGGTACATTCCTCAGGCTTGGTCAGATGTTATGTAATCTTCTTTTTCTGCTTGGAATAAGAGCATCTGCACTGTCTGTGATATTAGGTTGGTTGGTAGGTTTATTGTCACAATCTAACAAGTTATAGAGTGAAATCTAGTTTTGTAACTCCCTTCTGCTACATAGCAGACAATATATATTAATAAAGAATTATGAAAAATGGTAAACAGAAATATATTGTCATCACTGGAGCAGTGCTGAGGATGAATTAGAGTTTAAGAGTCTGATAGCTTGGGGGGAAAAGCTGCTCTGCAGTCTGGTGGTGTGACAGTAGGAGCTTCTTTGCTTGCCCATGCACCACATAACAACCTATTTAGAAGCAACATTGCTTTTGAATAAAACATATGGTGACTGGTTTCATACGATAGTTTCAGAAACTGCAGTGTACTCACTTGAGGTCGATGAGGATATCTTTGATGGTCCCCTTCTTCCGACACAGACAGCTTCCTCCTTGCGTGACCTTGTAGTGGATGTTATGAAAGCTAACGGTGGCGCCCTTTCGCTGTTGGCCTGAACCTGCAGACTGAAAAGCAATTTATTAAGCCCAAAACCAGACATATTAACAAAACGTGTGATTTTAGCTGCATCAATAAAGGAAGGAAAGTAGGTACCTGGTGTCTTTTTTCAGCTCCATTGAGTTCCATTATCACTCGGCTCTCTGACATCCTCTACCTCTCTCCTCCTGAACACAAAACACTGGAGAAACATTTTACTGTCGTTAACACTCCTTATAAAAAGTCCTGCCTCGTTTTCAAACTAGCTAAGCTTTTGTGCATTTTATTTATTTTATTTTTATCTTCGTTGTCCCAACAAATCAAGTTTGATCTTGCATACAATAACACCAAGTGACACTTTTCACACACTGTCACACCACAAATCAATTTTCTCACAATATTCATAATGTACTCCTAGAATTAAAGAGTACTAGACATGGGACTTCAACTATAACAAATATTTACAGTGATCTTGCTATTAAGCTATTGACAGTCATCATCATCATCATCATTTTATACATTTATGTTGTTATTTAAGTGTAAATTGTTCTTTAGGCGTTGAAAATTACATAAATAATGTGCCATAGATCTACCACTCCTACTCTTCAAAGTATCGCTTACATTAATTGAATACCGACAGACAGAACGGGCCGTATGGTAAAGTTCAAACATTTATTGTTCAAAAATAAGCTTACAGGCAGGTACAGGTAGGCAAACAAGCAGGCCCGTAAGCAGGCAGACAAACAGGTCCAGGTTACAAAACAAAACAAAAACTAACACTAGGAGGACCTGGCGGTGAAGAATGGAAATTAAGTGGCGTATAAGCTGAGTGGCTGAGGGAATGAGTTGCAGGTGAGAAAAGGTGTGTCGTTCAGAGAGGCAGTCTAATGAGGGAAGTGAGGACAGGTGTGTGGTTGGGTGTGACAGGCAGGTGATGGGGAAAGGAGGGAAAGTCTGAAGGCATCTGGGCCCGTATTCAAGCTTCTCAGAATTACTGCTACTGATTTAAGAGTAAAAAAAAATTCTTGGCTCAAAGCTGTGCTTAAATGTTTGTTATCAAGCATCTCAGTCCTAATTTGAGGGAAGTGGAGGACTAAATCTTAAGTGTCAGCTGTGCTGCAAACAGGATCTTGGATGACGATGTAGGCAAGGATCAATCACTGAATAGATTTCCTTATGTAAGAATACTTTCAGATAAATTCACATTGAATGGTGAAATTACTAAGAGGAGTTTACGTTCAACAGACATGACAATAAAGACTTTAAGAGAATACATTATGGCCATCTCCTGGGAAGCCGGCGATCTACATGAATTGTGTTTGCTTCTGTCGGACTACGGGGGGGTTGTTGTCGGGAAGTCGATGAAACGCATGACAAGTGTGGAGCTGTAAATGCCATAATTGTTTCCATGACAATTTGCCTTATTGATGGTTGTGATAGACCAAAATAATTGCTGCGTTTTTCCTGTGGCAAATAAACATAGCGTCATCACAACCTTCAACTCGCTGACAAAGATTAGCCTATGTCTTTCTCTTTACTGCGCGTCGTAAAATATTTCTGAAATATTATACCTCTTCTGAAAGATTTGCTTATGTCTCTGTCTCCACAGTGCCGTCACAAGCCCCTAATGGCAACTCGTCTTAAATAACTGGGAGAGTAAAAGTGATTCTTAGCTTTAAGAAATTTGATTACTTGCTTTTATACTTAAGTTTGAAAGTAGGAGTAAATTACATGAATTCTCAGCACTTCAGGCTAAAGTGGCACTTTGCTTGATAAATATAATAATTAAATTAATTAATTTTGTAATTAAATATTATTTGGAAAAATGTCCTATGTCATAAATCTGAAGGGCTGTGAGATGATTAACGGGACTCTTCAGTTCTGATGCACAAATTTCAATTTTGACTTATCACAAATATTTGAGGAATATCGGAAAATTTGAACTCCTTGAGACTCAGACTGTTAATTGAGATGAAACTGTGAGAAGTTTAGAGGGGAAATGTCTCCTTGGTGGAACCGCTAACATCTTACAGACAATCGAAACATGAAGAGGGGCCCAAGCACTTTTATTTTGTAAAGGGTCACAAGCCAAAAAGGTGGGATACACTGACTTTAACAAGGTTTTTTATGTGGTGAGATTGTTTTTTTAAAATGTAAAACCATACTAGTAACTACAGTTGTAAGATAAATGTGGTAGAGTAAAAAGTGTAAAAGTACTATCTGGCCTTACGGTAATGTTTCCTGCAATTTAGCAGAGGTCTCTCAGGAAGACAGAAGCAGCTAAACTTAGTTTTCACTTCCTACATGTTCTACACTTCAGTCAAAAAATAGAAAATGCTCTAACCTCACTATATTTAAACTTGATGTAGACGAAGCTCATCCAGAGCAGACTTCAGCTTTAGTTTCACACAAACATGCAGATGACAACAAGAGTTAATCGCTCACCTGCTGTAGCCAGAAAATCCCTGTGCGAACAGCAGCTGCCGGACAAAAAAACCACAGGACACTGAACGCGGAGATCAATGTGTGTGAGAGCAGTTTGTTCAGTGAGTTTTAAACCCTGTTTTATGACTGAAGGCATGATAAGAGAAGTAGGGTGAAGGGCAGCAGCGAGTCACTCTCTCTCTTACACTCCCACAGGGGTGGGAAGAAGTGTTTATATAATCATTTCAGAAAGAGTAGTAACACCTTAATGTAAAAGTCTGTAAAAGTCCTGCGTTCAAAACTTACTTAAGTAAAAGTACAGCTTATTAGAAAATGTACTTAGTATCAGCAGTAAAAGTATTTGTCTATGTTATATAATCATGTGACTGGTCCTGAACAGAAAAATTACAATATAAGTGGTTTTTGCAGCACGTTATTACATTAGCAAAGGAGGAAGTCCGGTGACATGTTAGAAATAGCGATAAAGTCCCTAGAAGGAGGTGGGATGGGGCGGTCAGTGCATATCGAACCGCAGACTTTCACTCAGGAGAACGGTGCTCAAGGCAATGACCTCTAGTGGCCATACAACGGTAGCCAAGGAGGGAGTTGGGTAACGTACTATAAATAGGCTGAAAGTCTGTGTAAGGAGGCAGGATGGGTCAAACCCCGGACTTTATCTCAGGAGAGCGGCGGTTGCGTTCCTTATGAAACCAAATAAATGTTGAGGTATTTTGAGTTTAAATAGATTTACTGACTTCTGTCATGTGACTCACGTAACAAATTTACTTTAAATCAAACCATGTTTTTCTAAACCTGACCAACGTGCGACGGTTTCACAACATGACCCACGTGTTTAATGTCACGTGACTTAGGCTACGCTGTCATTTAGTTTGGAAGACTTTTTGGTGATGTCCATTGTTTTTGATACATTAACAATCAGTACTGTAATGTTAGCTGGTAGAAATGGAGCTAATTATAAATGCTTGATATACTTTTGGGCAGTTAAAATCTATAACACAGCATCATATTTTATAAACTGATCACATATTTGTTAAATCTTAATCGCAAAAGTAGGTATAGCTGTCCCACTGTGTGATATACGGTGCTTAAAATAAAAAGGACCAAATAAATATGATGAACTAAAAAGTACAATATTTCCCTCTGAATTGTAGTGGAGTAGAAGGAAAATTACCAACAATAACCTCAAAATTTTAAGTACAGTAAATGAGTAAATGTACGTAACTTTCCCCTCACTGGTCATCATCATGAGGGGATCTTTAATCGTTTGACTTTTTACAGAGACTTAGTCTCTCTCAGCTGTGTTATTCAACTCTAACGAGACACATCAGTTAGTCCTCGTTTACTTTTACTGCCTCTGCTGATGATCATGTGATTAGACTGAAAGCTACTAAATTGACCATTCCCAACAATTAAATAGGTAATTTCCCATTGCTTGTCAAAAATGACCCATATTCAGCTTTCTCTTCTGTGTTGGCGGTTTTGGCAAGAAGATGCCTTCCAAAACAATCTCAAGAATCAAAGTCAGACACTGATGCAACAAATCACCCTGCTCCATAAGATTTCCACATTCAGGCATTTCAATGAAGAACCAGCACTGTTGTTTTTCTCATAGCAGCAGTTTCACCCTTTGACTGATTTCTTAAGCCGATGTGCGCACTGAGGGTCAGTCTGCTGGAAATGTGCAGCAAATCACAAAAGGTCTAAAATTCAAGTGCAAATATTAAGGTGTCAAAACGTATTCTGCTGTCCGTGACATCAAGTAGTAAAAATAGTATTCAGATCCCCTTTAGTTAAGTAAAAGTACTAATTCATCTTTTATTTTTAAGCTAAAAAGGTTCAGAATCACTGACTTTTACAAGGTTTGTTATGTTGTAATATTGTTTTTATGTAAAACTGTAATCTGAAAAGCAACTACAGCCATCAAAATATGTGATATTGGGCTGTATAAAAAGGATTTAACAAATAAATGTAGTGAATAAAGAAGTACAATATTTCCTTCTGAAATGTGGTGGAGCAAGTACAAGTACCTCAAATGTGTACTTAAGTACAGTAATTTCATTACCAGCAAAATGTCTTGAGGGCATCTTTAATTATTTGACTTTCCACAACAGAGTTTGTCTCTCTCATCCTTCTTATTCGCATACTGTCCAACTCTTCCCCCTGCTGTGAAGAAGCAAAACTACATTTCCCAGAAACACAAGTACTTTGTACTTTTAATTATTCAATATTAAAAGTTAAAAAAGGAAAAAAAAGAAGCTCACAGAAGTTAGTACTTGAAGTCACTGTACAAGAAAAAAAACTTCATATTCATGACACAAAACAGCCTGAAATGACTGTTTTTTCTTTCATTTTTTATTATACACGTTGTTGTTTTTTGCAGAAGGACTATTTTATGGTAAAGTTGTTTCCTAAATGTCATTAGCTCGCTGAAACGTGAACACACTTTTTATTCCCGGTGACTGGAAGCAGCAGTTCACCTCTTTTTTTTTCCAGACATTGACAAAGAAGCGCCTTCAGGAGACTTTTGGAAACAAACAGGTATGTAGACATTTTAATAAATGTTTATTAAAACGTGTACACAGCCATGTTAATGCAGTTTATATATGTATATATATAAACTGCGTTAACATGCAATAAAATAATTGTGATGACAATCAATGAATATTATGTGCATCAACTAGGTATTGTCTAGTATACTACACGTTTAATAGGAACAACAAATGAAACCAAACACAATACTTCAGAAGATATTAGTAACCAAAATTTTTATTTATTTTCTTATTTTTGTCCATAAGTGTTAACTCAATTATGTGTGTTTATATGTTATTACTGAGGTCATAGTTAAAGGTGTCTGCATTATACTGAGAGGGAGGCAGAATATTGGAAACACCTCTGAATATAATGCAATCAGCACCATCACTATGACCACAATGCTAAGCACATGTAATTAAATTATCACCTCTTTACACGCTTTACATTATAAAATTTGATTTTACTAGACTACTTAAATTATCAACTGAAAGTGTAACAGCAAAATTACTTTTCTGTCCTAAACCTGACACGTATGAGCTGTGGTCCTGACAACACAACACACAATCAGACCTCTGGCTGTAAACAGACTGCAGAAAGTGCATGTTTAGTAATTTATACTATTAAAGTTACCTGTGTAAAAATACTCTTTTACAAGTAAAAGGCCTCCATTCACATCATACGTGAGTAAAAGGTAAATCCGAATTAGTAAAATTGTCACGTAGGCTTGCATTTCAGTACTGGACCCAGACGCAGACAGATCAGGCAGACTGGTGCAGTTCAGTTGTGCATATCTGATCCTAAAGGCATGTGCAGGCAGGCAACAAGCGGATAACATGCAGGCAACAACAAGCGGATAACATGCACGCAGAAACAGGTCTAGGAAACAAAAACCTGAATGCAAAACTATACATAAAAATACACTCATTCTACAGAAAAAATAACTCATATTGTCAATGCCGATGCATCGATGTATTTTTCTTCAGTAGTTCGAGATGGGGCTAGTTTTAACTACTTTAAATACTCACCTGATAATCTGCAGCTCCCTTGGCTTTACGGAGCTTTATACTAGGTTTCAGCTCATTGTTTATCTGTCCAGCTGCACATTTACTGATTTGGTTCACTCTCAACGCTCTCATAGTTTTCTTTATAGTCTTCATAGTCTTTTTTATAACTTTGAAGCACTTTGCAGCTCAAATTAACCAATTTTGGTTCAGTATTTTTCTCTGAGCCGATGGGTCTGACATGTCACAAGATTATTCTAAATAGTAAAATAGTTGTGAAAAGAGCCAGATTTAACAGTTTTGACAGCAGAAGAGTTGAAAATAAATGGAAGTTATCTTGAAAGCTTGCAGCGAGGAACAAATCTTGACAGCTTAATTTCTTTTATTCTATCATTTACTTTTGGCATTGTTGTTTTTGCCCTTGTTGCTGTATTACCGATGAACCGTAGTCACACATTTATCCTCTCTTCATTTTCCCTATTTAAAAGGATCTAATTTTCCTAAAACAATAGTCAGTGTAAAAGGTTATTCTTGCTGTAAGCATTGAAAATGTTTATCTAAAGCTAATATGAAGCTTCAACAGTCAATAGGGCATATCCTTCTTCTATGTGTTTGCATTACATTATTTTTTTGCCATATTCATTTATTGCTCATACATGCGTCAATGAAACCTATACTCTTCCATAAGTGGGTATAAATTACCTGTAGTCATAGTTTATTGATTTTATTACATCAGTCATGTATATGTGATTTAAACACACAAGAACAGTAAGAGATATTTGCATTGTTGGTAAAAACATTTTCCTGTGGGCATCACTGTTCTCATTTCGTACTGATGATGTTGCTTGTTAAAACCTCCGCCTCTTTCTCATGAACTCGCTTGTAGCTGAATTGTAAAAACCCAGAGTTTACAGAGCCAAGTGACAGCACTTATCCAGTATCACCAATGTTCAGTGAAGCCAGGAAACCCAAAGAGAGCCAGAAGCTCAACGTGCTTCATGATACCCAGGTCACTTGTGGCCACACCATGGTGACCTGCCCCCAAGAAACAGCACACTACATTCAAACTATTAAGAGAAGAGTCTAAAAGAGAAAACAAGTTTCTGGAGAATTTGAACCCAAATGTTTATTCAGCTCCTTGTTTTAGGCCCCAAGTCTTCAATTCAGTTTAGGAATTAGAAATTTAAAGTTTACATGAGAGTGACAAACCTCTCATTATATTTATAATCAATGACAACAAATGAGATGATTTAACAAGACCAATTAAATTATTTCACCACGAGTATTTTAACATTGATATGTGTCTTTGCATCTCTATCAGCTCTACTTTGGCCCTGACTTCTGACTCTTGTGGAAAGGTCAGACAGATCAATATATTCTGTTATTATTAAGATTTCCAGAGGTGTTCTTACCTCAAGCAGACCTTCGGTGCATATATATGCACACTACGTGTGGAGGAGTGGTACTGACACCTGCAGGCTGAGCTGTGATGAAGAAAACAACCATCAGCGTTTACAACATGAAACATTATCAGTTCTGTTTTCATTCAAATTCTACAAAGAATTTTCAAAACAAAAAATAATAATTCGGTTACATGGTGACGTATCAATGATACATGAATACTCACAAAAGAGCACAACAAGAGGACAGTAGGACAGAGCAGTGAGAATTATTCATTATATTTAAGTATCAGATGAAAACGTATTGGTCAGAATGTCTGTTATGTCATTATATGACTGGACCATTTATATTGATGCATTAACATGCAAACAGTGCTTTGATGATGGAGCTAATTATACTTAACGTATTAAACGCATTTTATAAACTCATCACATGTTTTGTTTCTAAAATGTTAATATGAAAAGTATATCTTTGAAATTTGTCAAAATAAATGTAGTAAATAAAAAATTATATACATATTTCACTCTGAAATGTAGAAGTGTAGAAGTATATGTACCACAAATGTGTACTTAAGGGGGCGCTGCTGAGCAACCAATCATGTGTGTTTAGAGGCTCCCGCAGATTTTCGACTAAACCGTTATTGTTTCCGCGCTTGTTAGCATTCAGACTGAAAGAGTTACAATGTCTGGAAGGAACAGTAAACTTCGTGCTACAACCCTGCAGCAGAGGTGAAGCCCTCGGCTACAGGTGGTTCACCTCCACCTTGCGGCTCAACCTCACCCAGGCCTGACGCTCAAGCTAATGTTACCGATGCAGACGCCTTGAAGCTCGAACTGCTAACATGTTTGAGACAAGACATTGTGGAGACTTTTAAAACCGAACTCTATCTTCAATCAGAGCAGACTTGCAAGCCGTGAAAACCCAGCTTGCAAATGATAAAGCAGCTGCGGATGCTGAGTTAGCCTTACTCAAAGGTACTGTGGGGGAAGTGGAGGTGTCCCTTTCGTCATGTACTGACGACATCGTTGATCTGAAGTGCAAATATGAACGCCTAATTCAATCCAATTTATCCAAGTTGGAGAACAAGTGTGAGGACCTCGAATCCAGATCACACCGCCAAAACATAAGAATCGTTGGTGTTTCTGAAGACACGGTTGTTAACACTACCGAGGCCCAGACCAGATGAGCGACCTCGTCCCTTTATTGCCAGATTCCATTACTACACTGATTGTGCAGACGGGAGAGGGCCAACGGTTCAGTGCGGGGAATGTGAGGATTTGCATTTTCCCCGATCACACTGCCAAGGTAGCCCGAGCCAAGGCTGCATTCAATGAAGTTAGGAAGCACCTGCGAGGCGTTGAGGGGGTCCGCTACGGTCTTTTCTACCCGGCCCGACTGCGGATCAGCTATGGAGGTGTGCAGAAGGACTTAGCAGACGATGCTAAAGCTTATGTCAAGAAGATGAACACTGGGTAATATTTACAAGTGGCATCTTACAGTTATATCCTACCTTTTTGCCTTCAGTTTACATTCGAATATTGTTTACATCCCGTGTTCATATATTTAACGTTAGGCCTATTTATTTGTTAACTTGAGATTCCTTCATCTCTCCTTATCATTTCTTTGGTGAATTAAAATCGAGGTGTAAAAACGCTCTACTTTAGCCCAATGTTATGTTTATAATATGTCTACTTATGATGAGCAATGTAGTTTGCAAACTTGACTCATATCTTATGATTGTTAGGTCGACATGTTATGGGGTATATCAGTATAAGCTGAGACTTAATGCCAATTGACTCTGTGGGAGTGTCTTTTAGGTTTAGCTCAAGTGATTCTCTGAGTTGTCACTGTTGTGGCAACAGTTTTTCCCTGTTTTGCACTGCTGTCTCCCTTATGGAGACTTTATTTTGGTGTGCGTGTGTGGGTACATGGGATTATGTATGTGTATGGGTGGGAATTTAGGGAGGTAACTCACCCTGGCTTTCTAGTTTTCTTATTTCCTCTAAATGTGTTCTGCTAACGTTAATTTGAATCCTAATGGGGGCAAACCAATTTGTTTTCTTACTTGGAATATACGAGGTATCAGCAATCCTGGTAAAAGATCCAGGGTTTTTACCCATCTGATCTTAGTGCTGACATTGTGTTTTTGCAGGACTTAAGGACCATCACAGGCTCCGGTCTTCCTGGGTAGGTCAGATCCACCACTCCAATTTTAACTCCAAAGCCAGAGGAGTTGCTATTTTAATTGGTAAAAAAGTTAAATTTCTATCTAGTGAGGTTATTGCAGATAAAAATGGCAGATATCTCATAGTGGCAGGCACATTAATGCAGACCAAGGTGTTGCTTGTCAACACCTAATTTTGATGATGTTGATTTTGCCACTAGATTACTTAGCAGCATACCTCATTTAAACACACATTTGTTAATATTTGGAGGTGATCTGAATTGTGTGTTTGACCCAGTGCTGGACAGATCTAGTCCCCGCACATGTCCTGATCATCTATGTCCAGGTCCTTTGCTGATTTCATGACTCAGAGTGGTTTGGTGGATCCTTGGAGGCATCGTAATTCCTCAGCCAAAAAGTTCTCTTTCTTCTCCCTGGTACATCAGTCTTACTCGAGAATTGATTACTTTTTTTATAGATAATAGTAATAATTTATTGCTGGCAGATAAATCATTTTGTGATTTTATTTCCAATTCTATTGATGAGTTTCTCTCTTTTAATCAGAATGAGGCTACATCTCATTCATTGCTTTGGGAGTCATTGAAAGCATTTCTCAGAAGACAGATTATCTCGTACTCCTCCTACTCCAATAAAAAACAAGGCTATCAGAACTTTTGTTAGCTATCGGTAACCTTGATCAAGAATGTGCATCTGACCCCTCCCCAGAGCTATTTAAGAAGCATCTTGATCTCCAGACAGAGTTTGATCTAATTTCATCTAAAAGCGCAGAGTGAATATTATTAACTCGTGGTACTTTTTATGAACACGTGATAAAGCAAATCGTTTATTGGCACACCAGTTAAAACGGCAATCCACCTCACGTCTCACACCCCAAATTAAGAATTCTTCTGGTATACCTGTCACAGATCCTAAGGAAATTAATGTGTCATTTAAGTCATTCTACTCTGCTTTGTACAAATCAGAATTTCCAACAAATACCACCAAGATGAATCAGTTTCTGGATAACCTTGAAAATCCTACTATTGATTGTGATTGTGTGAAGGAATTGGATGCTCCGCTTTCCTTGGAATAATTACTACTTTCTATCAAAGCAATGCAGTCAAATAAAGCCCCTGGTCCTGATGGATTTACAGTAGAGTTTTTTAAGAAATTCTGTGATAAATTGGCCCCTTTACTTTTGCAAATGTATAATGAATCTTTGGAAAACGGTTTGCTACCTCCCACACTTACTCAAGCATCAATATCTCTTCTCTTGAAGCCTGACAAGGATGCGAACCTCTGTGGCTCATTTCTTTATGTACCTTCAAGTTCTACACTTTGTTTCAAAATGTTTTTCAAATTTTCCCTCCTTACCTCCTCAACACCCATGGGATAGATTGCTTGACTTTAAGTCACAACAAAGAGGTATTGTCTCAGAAATTTATAACTGTATTCTGGATCTTTGTAACTACACAAACTCAAAAACAAAGAGTGATTGGGAGGAAGAACTGGGACAACAAGTTCAGTGAGGAGTGGTGGCAAGAAGTAATTGATAGACTGAATACTTTGTGCACGTCTTCTGATTCACTTCAAGGTTGTACACAGGGTCCATCTCTCCAAAGCAAGATTATCTGCAATTTTCCCAGGAGTAGAGGATAAGTGTGAAATATGTCTTAACCCACGCTGTCATTTGAGCCACATGTTTTTTCCTTATCCATGGTTACACAACTTTTGGTCTGTTTTCTTCAACATAATTTCAATTATAATAGGGATACACCTTCAACCATGCCCCTTAATCTTTGGGACCCCAGACAAATCAGATCTATTTACTTGGGCACAGAAAGAAATTCACATCTTTACTGGCCGGACACTCCCTCACTCAGAGCCGGCCCTGACCTCCCTGGGGCCCTAAGAAGAATTCCGCCATGCTTATTATTTACTAAGAGATGTGCATCCATATTGCCCTGTCTGCCCTGCTAATCAACATTTTCAGTGGTCATTAGTCACTGCTTTCCATCTTGCATTAGTCCAGATTTGACTGAGAGACAGATACTAAAATGATGTGCACCTAGGAGTCATCACATTCATGCATTTTCTACAGTGGTCGGCACCATAGGCGGAGTTGGGGGGTGGCTAATTGGGCTTAAGCCCCAAATGTTTTGTCAAAAGCCCCGGATCTTTTAGGTTCTGGTGCTCACAATTAACTTTTCCACCATATTCAAATGTCCTGTACTAATGTAACGAAAGTAATAATAGGCTAGTTCAATGAATCACTGTCCAATCACATCACATGTCTGAATATCATAAATATCAACCGTTGGGATTAACCCTTTTAGATTTAATGCACACATGAGACTAATAAAATAAAAATTATTAGTATCAACGAGTTATAGTGGCGTTTCCGCTAAAAGTGCTGCTAGAAGTTTTACACGCCACCAGATGCAACTGTGTTTGCTTAGCTTAAAGCCCCAAAGCTTCATAATGCTTCATGCACTCATCACTACAGGCTAGATACTGTTAGCTGATTTGACTGCGACTATTTTTATCACACAGATGAGTCAGCTAGGGAAGAGGAAGGACAGGTATCAGGACAGGCGCTTAGAAGAAAGGAGTGAATAGAAGAGTAAGGGGAGCACAGATGCCAGAAGTAAAGAGAATAAGATATTCATTTAATCTTTTTTGCATGTTTATGATGATATGAAAGGTTTATGATCAGACCCCCCTCGGTCACCGAAGGTTTACAACATCTGGCTCCGCCTCTGGTCGGCACAGATGTGGCCGCCAGAATGCGCGAGTTTAATTTGTGCACGCGCTTATGAAAGCATGCTCACGTGCCACGCGGTTCTCTTTTTCCCCAGCTGCAGTTTGTAAACACCGCCGTTTATCAAATGTAATATATAGCTGTGTTTCACTCAGAGACTTCAGAGACGAAGTCTGGCAAACAACCGCAACACAGACAGACCGAGACATTCACAGCAAGCTGCACATTAACTTAACATTACTGTTTTCTGCTGACATCAAAGTTGAGAGGAGAGAATAGTTTACCTGACTGCTGTTCCTGCAGGTCACTCTCATTGAGTTTTTCCTCTTATCGCGCCCAGAAACATAGTTACCTCTTCATCCTTTCTTTTAACTGTATAGACAGTGAGGCGGGGCTCTGCTTACTATGCGGGGCCCTACGCAACATGCGCAGTGAGCCAAGATAGGATAGTCCGACTCTGCACTGCAGTCAAGCCAGCCCTCGTGATGCGTGTTTTTTCTAGCCATTACGGTAACATCGTGTCGCAGCAAATTGCAAAATAAAAGTGAGCTCCTGCTAAACATAATGCAATCGGTGTGGCAGAAACGATTGAATGAATAAATAAATACATGCTGAAGACAACACAAGTATCTAAAGAATGTATCCATTTTCACAGTGAAATTAAATTCACAGTGATAAACCAACTCAGGCTGACCCTCGGTCACTATCAGAGCGATCTGATGTAGGTTTTAAAAGATAAAGTACCAAAAAATGTCTAATATTTTCACTGAATTTACTGATTTCAGATTGATGCAAAAAGAAAATCTCCTGTTTCCACTGGCTCATTTCACTTCAATCAATTTGAATCTTGGCAAATTCAGTGAAAATATTAGACATTTTCCAGGGCTGTAATTTAAAAAAAAAAAAAAAACTACATCTGATATCTCTGAACTTCATACACCCCGAGGTGGTCTGTTATTACTGTGAAGTGAAATGAGTCAGTGGAAACAGGAGGTTTTCAATTTGAATCTTTGCAAATTCACTGAAAATATAAAAAATGTTCAAGGGCTGTAACTATTAAAATCTATGAAATGAGCCACGGGAAAAAGAAGGTTCTCTTTTTACATCAGTTTAAATCTTGGTGAATTCACTGAAAATATTAGACATTTTCCAGGGCTGTAATGTTAAAAAACACCACACCAGATATCTCTGATGTTCAATGAGGGACACCTTGAGGTGGTCTGTTATCACTGAAGTGAAATGAAGAAGCTTTTCTTTTTACATCAGTCTGAGTTTAGTAAGCATTCTGTGAAAATGTAATACCTTCTTTAGATACTTGTGTTGTCTTCAGCATTTCTTTATTTAATCGTTTCTGCCACACCAATTGCATTGTGTTCAGCATTAGCCCACTTTTATTTTGAAATTTGCTGCGACTCGATGTTACCGTGATGGCTTTAAAACACACGCATCGCATTGGCTGTCTTTTCGATGTGGAGGCTGCAGTGGCTCTGCCTTCACTGGTAAAACGAATGAAGAAAGTTTGTCTCTCTGATCCTTTTTATTCACATTTACTGTGAAGCTCTTCCCCCTGCTGTAAAGAAGCCAAACTACGTTTCCCAGAAACTAATTGTTTTATTTTTTGCTTCTATAATTAAAGTAAGTCGACGTACAATAATAAGCTTACTTAAAATCACTCTAGAAGGGAAAAAAATATAAATAAAAAAAAAAAAACACTTTCACCACACAAAACAGCCTGAATTTAATGTGAGCTTCCCTTTTTATTGTAAGTGATTTTTGCATTAGTACAGTCTTTGTTAAAGTTGTCCTCTGTAGTTGACGTAAACACACCTTTTATTGCAGGTAACATGAGTTCTTCTGCGTTTTTTTCCAAGACTTTGACCGTGAAGCGCCTACAGGAGACTGGCAGAAACAAACAGGTATGTAGACGTTTTAATAAATGTTGTATAAAGTGTATACAGAAAATTAATTGTAGTGGATTTCATCAGTCCCTATTTCAACACCTGACATTTAGAGCCTGCAGGTCATTATATTAAATCAGTGGACGCTGGGGTGACTGAGTCCTTTATACGTCTATGTCACTTATGGATTTTTAAAAAAGGACTAATTCCTACTTAATTCAAAACAATCATTTATTTAAAGGTAACACTTTATGATGTCAGTTTCAGTAAGATCCAAGATACAATTTAAACTAGCTATAAAAGGTATTTTTGTTACAAATGATAGTGAAAACTAAACTCATGCAAAACAAACGTTCCAGTGAAAGACACACCCACTATGGAAAAAAGTTGAAACGTGATTTACAGTTTAATTCATCTGCACACATGAGCATGAAATGTATCTTAACGACCTGTACCGTTACACAGTTTAGTTTTATTGCCATTATACAGGATTGCACAATGAAATGCAGTTGCAACTTCTAGAAACTATAGGCTACATTTAACGTTACGTGTATAGGGCCTACATATATATCCATACGATGTTGCCTCTGGGCAACATACCCATTTGTGGCCTAGTACACTCCCACAAAACATCCTGAATTATGATGCATTATTTTAAAAACATTGTGCAGGGCCTTGAGGAAACAAATAGCAGTGTTACATTATGTAATTTCCCATTATGAATCGCTTTTCTGCTGCCTTTTTGTATGTAGGATACGCACAATATAATATTCACACGCATCCAGGCTGCGTGTGTATATGCAACACGTTGTCATCTCAATGAGTCATAACTGACGCTTTCAGACAGCGTGACAAAGGGTAAATATTTTATGCTAAAGGTACCCTTCAGCATCAGTATACGTCCCAGCAAAACAAAGGATGCTAACCCTACCTGCTAGCACATCAGCCGTGAGGCCGATATGCACAGCTGTAGAGTTGACACGCATAAAGTCTGTGACTGAGGTTTAGGTACTAACATTTCTGAGGGTTATGGTAATGGTAGGGGGCTTCGGGGGCCTGTCTACACCTTTAAAGAGGTGCTAAGTAGTAAATAAAGCAAAGCATGTGCACGCGCGTTGCTGGCCTTTGGCCTTTCATGATGCGGGTAACAGTCGTGCACGCGAATACATTTTTGATTAATACATTTTTTTATCATAAACTAATAAATCAAAAACTAAATTAAAAAAATAATTTAATTAATAAAACTATTTAATGAAAAACTAATAATTAAAAAAAGTATTAATAATAAAAAAAAGATTGGGGTTATAGTTGTCACGCTCTGCCGGTTGGCCATCCTTGGTGTTGCACTTTTGTGTTTAGTTAGTGTTATTTTGGTCTGTTGGGTTTTGGGGGTCTGTCTTGTCTTTCGTCTAGTGTTCGGTAACCCTTGTCATGTCTGTTACCCCAGTGAAGTACCGGTAACCGTAGCTTATTATTTATACGATATACTGCAACAAAAAGCTATACAAATGTGTGTGTATTGCTCTTATACAGACGAATGGTGCAGAAAACAACCTCACACATGCATTGACAATCTGCCCTTCTTTTATATCAAAGGACATTAGAGAGAAATTAAGCAGAAGCTTTTTAACAAAAATTTCGCTGATGCTCAAAAGTACGTCCTACGCGGTCTTGGGTTAGTGCCAACATGTGAATGCAGTATTCGAGACGTTGCTGCAGGTGCTCTACAGATATGGCTGATGAACCCTTTTCTCATTGCTTCGCTTAAACGGGCAGTTAGAGTGGAGGACAGTGTGAGCACAGTAGTCAATGAATCTCTGGACATCTGGAAGGGGGAACAACACTAAAAACAATAGTGAATGTGTCTAGTCTACTAAACCATTTCAAAAAGAGATACATCATGTATAAGATGAGAGCCCTGTTGTGTGAAGCTGTTAACAATACGATATGTTACACAGATAGGACACCATGTTGTTCTAGATTTGACAAACAGACAGAATGTGTTAGATGAATGACCTCGGGATGGCGTACCATGGTGCAAATGACAGCGGATAAATATGCAGATGTGAAATCTACTCTACTCGTGTCAAGGGACCCTCCTGTTTACAGGTTAAAAGACTATGACGGCGAAATATTACAGGGAAGCTTTTATGAGCAAGAGATGCAAAAAGTTATTATAGATAAAAACAAAACATTTAAAATAGGAAAGATTTTATCTAGAAAGAAAAGACAAGTCCGGGACATGGGTCATGAGTTGTAGTTTTTGCCATTTGTTTCTGGTGTCCTTTTGTTTACCTGTTCTTCTCGTTTCCTTGTCCTTAGTGTTTATGTCTTGTCTGGTGTTCTAGCTCGTAGTCCTGTGTTGTTTTGATATTGCTTTGGTAGTCTACTTGTTATATTGTTTCTTAGTCACTGCCTTAACTCTTGTTCCTGCATTTTAGTTCTTTGTCCTTGTTCCCAGTCCTGTACCTTAGTTCATGTTAAGTGTTCAGTCTGTTCCCCCGGTTGTCACTCTGCCTGCATGTCAGTCTCTCTATTTCCCTCTGCTCACGGTCTCTCTCTGCCTCGTTAATCTCATGTCCTTCACCTGTGTTGCTCCTGCCCTGCTCGTTAGTCCCTGTGTGTATATATGCCTGGTGTCTGTCTTGTCTTTGTATGTTGTCACCCTGAGTTGCTGTGTGTGTTTCTTGTGTAGTCAGCCTCACTCGTCGTGTCTCCCGGTTTCCCCTGCTCATTTTGGATTTCTGTTCTGTTGGATTTCTGTCTTCAGCCACTCAGTTTGTAAGTGTGCTCACCTTTTGTTTATATTAAAACCCCTTCACTGAACTGCACCTGCTAGCCTTCGTGTCCTGCGTTTGGGTCCTCCAACCTGCTTCACTACACCACTTACCGTGACAACATGGTGTTAGTCAAATGGGTCGGATAAATTTAACTCGTGGATTTTGGAAAAACAGGTCATTCAGCTACCTTAGCAGATTACAAACACACGTATAAATGGATAGAGGTTTTGTCACCCTGCACAGCAACTCATAAAAATCCATCTATACAAAAATGTCAGACAATAGCTGAACTAAACAGTTGTTTATCGGAAAATGACATGGGTCACATTGAGCTTGATTACAACAACAAGTAATTATTTTACCAACGAGAGACATAGAATTAACGTTTCAAGGAAAACTTGCACAAATGTTGGGATTTATCCCCGGAGCGGCTTTTAAAACTCACGAGGGAATTGTAACATTTAGATCTCAACCACAAACTAACAGTTTTGACACAGATGCCGTATTTGGCACCACATCCTGCTGATGTTAATGTAGGGTTGTATATAATTGTTTATACAGATATTGTTGATCAACAGTAGGGGATGGTTACGTCCCTCTTAAGAATAGTACATACATCGGGGCCTTACAACCATATGATCAAATACTTATGACAGACCACACTATCTGAGGCTCTGCAAAACACACATTGATAGTATCGAGATTTCTGTCAAGACAGATCAGAATCAACATATCCGTACGGCAAAGTGATCATAAAGCTACACTTTCGACCCGTAAAATTAGACAAGGAGTAAACATGTACCATCCATATGCTCACAATGCGGACAAGTACGTTGCATATTATACAGCCCAAGCGGGTGGTGATTTACCAGGATACAGCGGGCTCGGTGCTCAGTATGGTTCAGGGTTAGGGGGTCTCTTTAGATTAGCATTACCATTGCTCAAGAAAGGATTTACATTTGTTGCCCCTCATTTAAAGACAGCTGCTAAACATATAGCTACAGATGTTATTACTAACGTCATGAATAGAAGTCAAGAGGGGTCGGGTATAGCGGCCGTGGCCCCCCGACCAATAAAACGACCTCCGGGGGAAAAAAAGGAGTTCCCCACTAAAGAGGCGTAGCCGAACAACAAATAAGACCCATACTAAGACTAGAACAAACAAGGGGAAGCAAGACGACAAAAAAAACAAGAATGTCGTTGGTACATAGCCCGTCACAAGAGTGTGTTAAGTCGGAGCTAGACCTGTTTATGTGGCCATTAACAAGTATTGAGAAATGCATCTACGTCGAATTCCCTCCTCTAGCAGCTATCAGACTCTGCACCCCTTGAATTTTTCATTCCAGCTAGTACAGGGGACTACCTGGATCTAAACAATACGTTTCTGTACACACATGTAAAACTCACCAAAGCTAATGGTGGAAACCTGGATCAAGCAGACGAAGTGGGCTTTATCAACTACCCTGGATGTACAATATTTTCATAGGTCGACATATCGTTGGGAGACCGACTCCTAACGCAATCAAACACATATCCTTAGAGGGGTATAATAGAGTGCCTTTTGAACTACGGAAAGGACGCTCTGCAGACACAGTTTGGATCCGGATTTTGCATGGATACAGCAGGTCACATGGACGACGGCATTAACGCATGGCATTGTTAAATATCCCATAGAGTGTTTAATCAAGAAATGTATTCTAGGGACAAGGGTTCGCGGGAGCGCGCAAAGCTTGCCTCTGTTTACTACTCACATTTAAATGTAACACATAATGAAATGGAATTTAACTCTGTCTTGATTTTCGGCATGGTTTTAAACTTTGTGTGCTCGCTCTCTTTTCCACAATGGTACAATGTTGCCTGAGGGTAACGTTCAGACAAACTTATTTAAAGAGTTTATTTTTTATATTTTCAAACTTAAACAATTTAAACTGGTAAAGCCATTAAACATTTTCATTTGTAATATTTTACTCAAATTTTAAAGGATAAATCTTTTTTTACTACTTTGGTACAGTCATTTAATGACAGGAAACAACCCATTGGCAAAATAATGCGTACCACATGTATAGAAAATAACGTACAAATAGTACAATAGGTAACAGTAATAAATCCTACCTTCATTCTAAAACTGTAAGGGTTTGTCGTGTGTGCAGGCAGGAACAGGTTTTAGGTCCCAAGCGCAGGACACAGAGGCAGAACAGGTACAGTTTCTGAGTACAGCAGAGTCCAGAATACAATAAAGGTAATCCAAAACAGAGGTAGTGAACAGAGCAGCATAAACAAATAATCCAGGGGAAGACGGAACAAAAGGATTATCCAGAAACAGGCAAGCAAGACACACGGCAGTGGATGCACTCACTCACTCCATCCATCCAAACATTTAAGCACTGGCTAATGAGGAGGGTGGGAGCACAAACAGGTGATACTAATAATGACAGCAGACAGACACAGGCAGGCAGGGTGATGAACTGACAGAAAAACAGACAGATACCAAACAGGCACAAACTAACAGAGCTATTAACAAAGACACAGACAAATCCCAACAGAAACATGAATACCTATAAACAGATATACAGTAAATAATTAACACCAGGCAGACAGTTTCCAAAACACAAGACAAGAATCAAACAACAGAGGATCCCAAAACACAGAACAGGCAAAAATTAATCTAAACATAACAGACTAAATAACAGATACTGAACAGACCAATAAGCAAAGCTCACAGAGACCTAAACCAGACCGATCAGACAGGCAGTGTGACAAAAACAGCTTCAACATATATCTTTTGGGTTTCAGACTGTTGGTAGAATAAAGACATCATTTAAAAATATCTATTTATTTTACTGTTATGACATTTTACCAACTAAAAAATTAGTTGATTTCTCAAGAACATAAGACAAATTAATTTATCAAGAAGAAAATGTGAGATCCCGAGAATTTAAACTCCCTGTCAGACCTTGTATAAACAAACTATTATAAAAGTCAATATATTTATGTAGGAATGTATGTACGTGTGTGAACTTGTGAAATCTGACGTCATTAAGGCAATAAATACTGGCAATCTTGTCGAGTAGCTTACCTTTCTCCCGATGAAGAAATGTATTCTCCTTTACAGTTCCTTTGTTCAACCAGAAATAGCTGTCATATCGCTCTCTCTTTAAAGCCATTGACAAAAACAACAATTCTAACGTTACCGCTGCCAGCTTATTGTGTGACTTTGGTGTTCAAGGCTTTACACTCACTACTTTACATCATGAAAAGATATAATCAAATATTTATAAAAATGTGAGGGGTGTACTCACTTTTACATCAGTCATCCCAGGCCTTTCTGTGTGGTGTTTACATGTTCTCCCCGTGTCTTTTTGGGTACTCTCTGGGTGCTCTAGCTTCCTCCCACCATCCAAAGACATGCGGACTAGGTTGATTGGTGGCTCTAAATTGTCCTTAGGTGTGAGTGTGAGTGGTTGTTTGTCTAGGTGTGGCCCTGCGATGGACTGCCGACCTGTCCAGGGTGGACCCCGCCTTTCGCCCAATGTCAGCTGGGACTGGCTCCAGCCCTTCGCGACCCTGTACGCAGGAAAAGCAGTTGATGATGGATGGATGTGTATATATATACTGTATGTGTGTGAGATTTTGGCAAGGTAGTGTTCAAATCACAGATTTAAAGCATAATGAAATAATTATATTTAACTGTTTTTACAGCTGCAGTTTGAGACATCCTCATTACTATTTCTCTTCATTCATTTCTATTTTCAGAATTGCAGGATGCTTCATGTGAAGGTCAGTCAGTCCCTGAACTCTGGTACCTTCACTGTCCTGGTATTCCACACTGTTGTCCTGATTCACTCATGTAGAGGTAAATTACAAACACCACATGTTAGTCTATAGACGCTGTATTGGAAATACAGTATGTGATCTAATTGACACTGTATGGCTGTTTATAAATAAACTCTGCAGAAAATTACAGACTAAAACAATTTATTTTCAGCTCAGTCTAAGGTGATTGGTCCATCTTCGCCAACAGTGGCAATGGTCGGTGAGGACATCACTTTGCCGTGTTACCTGGACCCTGTTATGGATGCTTTTGATATGCCTCTGTGTGGGAAAGACCTGACCTGGACCCCAGATATGTCCTCGTGTGGAGACAGGGTGTGGAGCTAGAGAGTAAAAAAACATGGATCCTACAAGGGAAGAACGTCACTGTTTAGTGATGAACTGAAGAACGGGAACATTTCACTGAAACTCTCTAAAGTTAAACTCTCTGATGAGGGAAGATACAGATGCTTCGTCCCAGAACTGAGAACAGACTCTACTGTTCAGCTTGTTGTAGGTATGTCATGTGGCGTATTTTGTCTTCAGTGTGATAACTTTTTATTAAAGGCTGTACTCAGACTGCAGGCCAAAGTGACCCAAATCTGATCTTTTCCAGTTTTGGCTTTGGGCCACTTCATATACAGGTAAAATGTTTTGAAATGAGGCCTCAGTCTGGACAGTCAGAACAGAATTCATGTGACTCCGACGTCACAAGTTGCAGACCCCTGCTCTAGAGCCGCTGTTTAGCCCGTCTCTAGTGGCTCCCGAAATTTGTCAACATATTTTAATGAATAACTTCTTTTATATTTACGTTTTTCATTGTTGTAGGCCTAAAGTCATCGTAGAAGTAAAAGCATGTACATCAAATAAAAAATTTATTACACTTCGTCAACTAAAATGTGCGTCATCAAGCTACATCCTGACGCTAAACTCAATGTCAGTGTCTTAAGTGGGTTGCCTGTTCTCCTAAGATAGCTATGGGTTTAAAATCCAAAAAAAAGATCTTAGGGGATTAATGGATAACAGATTTGTCTGCTTTCACCATCATAACTGCAGGCTTACCAGAATGGCCAAGGTTGCCGACCCCTGCTCTAGAGCGACTGTTGTCACAACTCTGTGCTAGCTGGAATAAAGAGTAGGATTAATCACTCCATACAATGTCATAATTAAAACTACTATCTAAACTACTCATCCAGGTGGAAACAGTAGAGAGTTCTAGGGCTCATATGTGCTGTAAAGTGCCAGAAACTGTAATGAACGCTATGAAAAGACATTTGAGAAAACAACTGAGCATTAAGGCCTTCAGCGTGAACGTAGCTTTACACAGTGCAATACTGGGAGTTGACTGGTGCAACTTCAGCACTCAACTGTTTTAGCCCAAGAGCAGCTTGATCATAATTACAGAAGAAGCTACGAGCATTATGTACTTGTTTTCTGGCTGATCCCGGTTTCAATCAATGATTCATTCAGCGGTTCACTTTTATCACAAATGTGAGTCAATTTTAGCTCCAAATACTCTGAGTGTGTTCATAGTCCTGTATTTGTTTTTATTTATTTTTTTGGCACAGTGGCTTTGAGCTAAATGCTAATGTCAGCATGCAAAGATGCTCAGAATGAAGCGAGATCTGCCAAAGGACTGCAGTGGAAAAATCACTGAACACAGTACAGCCGATGGAAATGTCATTAGTTTTGCAGGTATCTGGCAAATTAAAATTTTGACATTAGAAGAAAGGGGATCACCAGAATTAATACAATTCACCCTTAACGTGACCTTGATCGTCTGAACCACATTTCATACATTCCATCCAGTATAGACATTTCAGTCTGGACCAAGTGGTACCCATTGGCAGACCAACATCGTCATCTAGTGATGAAATGTGGCTCTTTAAAAGGAGGCAGGTCTAATGGCTCCGTTCCTTTCAGAGAGCTGACTCCGCATTTAGTATAACTTCTTCTTCACTCTGCTGGTCGCTGCCTAAGTCATATTCTTATTTGTTGCAAGAAAGAAATCTGTGTTTTCCACATATAGACTTTATTTGGGCAGGCCACACAGCTATTTTAACAGCTGCCCAGGTATATTTGGCAACCCATTTTAACATTTTGCAGAGAAACATAGAGAGATCTTATTTATTATGTTACAAGACGCGGACATGTGGATATTTCACAAGCACGAACGAGGTAAAGCAACAGTGAACTCACCAGTACAGATGTCATTTGGTACCACGTTGGTTTAGATCGTCCTATTCACTTAAAAGAGCCTCGTTGGGACTCACTTGTCACTATGCCATTCCTTAAACTATGCACCTAATGTGGCTAAAAGATTGACATCAGACAGGTGTCACATTATAGTAGCATTAGATATGCCAGTCCTGAATGGAGCTTTTTGTAATGTATCCTTTGCATACGTTACTTCAGTGGGTAGTAAGCTAGTTAGACAAGCATGCTAATGTTATCAGGTTACCTCAGAGCAGATAAACACACAGTTTAACTTCTAGAAACTATTTAACTCCGTCATCTTTAGGTGCCGTCTCCTCACCTGGTATCCAAAAGTCCAAAAACAGCAGCAGTGTGGTGTTACAGTGTGAGTCTGCAGGCTGGTATCCAGAGCCTGAGGTGTTTTGGCTGGACGGTGAGGGAAACCTCCTCTCTGCTGGACCTACAGAGACATTCAGAGGTCCTGATGACCTCTATACTGTCAGCGGCAGAGTGACTGTGGAGAAGAGGCACAGCAACAGCTTCACTTGTAGAGTCCAACAGAAGGACATCAACCAGACCAGAGAGACTCACATCCAGGTTCCAGGTTAGAAAATAAATTAAAATGATCAAACATTCACTTTCTATGCTTTTACAACTGTGAATGGGGTACCTGTGGCTCAGCAGGTAGAGTAGTTGTCCACTAACTAGAAGGTTGGAGGTTTGATCTCTGTCTCAGACGGTTTGCCATGCTAGTATTTTATATATTAATGCATTTCTGTTCCGTGTTTTATGATTTCAGATGATTTCTTCCCAGGCTGGTCTGATTCTAGCTCCAGTTCATCTGCTCCTACAATCATGGGTTTGGTTGTTGGCATCATGTTGATTCTTGCAGTGGTCTTTGTTGTCGTGTGGTTATGGAGACAAAATAAAACCAGTAATTCAGAAACCTTTTTAAATAGAAAACTGTCTATTCATCCTTTATGTAAATACATTTTAGTCTTACTTTATTAACATCAATGAGTACATAGTTTTGAAACATCAGTTCACTCAGTTCACTTTTTGTGAGAATTTGTGGTTCTCGTTTAAAAAAAGTTTGAAATGACCTTATGATACTAGTTGTTTTTTTTTTTTTTAGAATTTGGATGTGACAAAATCTGTTCTTCACATCTCTGCTTTGCTTTTGCAGCTCTTTCCTCATTAGCATCAGACATTTTTAGAAAAGCAACACAGGATCAGAGCACAGAGAAATGTCATGTAAACACTGTTAATTGTTTCTGCACACAGGAAACAAGAAGCACCACGAGGATGAACAAAAACAGA